ATCATACTGTAAATAATTTTTTAATATTTTTATTGTTAGTTGGTGTCAATCGGCAGGTAGCTGTAACGGGTGTGTTAAATTTAACGATAAATCGAAAACTTTGCACATAAAAAAATATTCTGAGCGATGAACGTCCATTATTATATAAGTACTCCGAATTATGTTTTATTTACTGTTTATTACATTATATTTGCTTTTAAGATATTATTGAATATAAAAAATGATGTAATACAAGTAACAGTGGTATGTTTCAAGATATCTAACCTATAGACTATAGTCTTTAAATGACATTGAAACAATACTCAAATCGTTTGATGATACATTGTGATTTTACGAGTGAATAACCAAGTTTGTCAAAATTTAAACTTCGAAAGCTCATATATAATAATATTATATTTATAGGTATTACGATTACACTTACCTTTTAAAAATAATATTCTTATTCTAACCTTCTATTGTTTTACATTTTAAAACCTTAGGTATACGGAAAAATTAATTTTTTTTATACATTGTATGTTGTATGTTCAAAATTTAAACGATTAAATAAATAAATAAAATACAAAATAATTTGTAAATTTAAAAACTGTGTACAAATTCTAAATTCGATCATAAAAAATTACTGAGGGTTTACACCAAACTTTTTTTTTTTACTTCCAAGACCAACAACTAATGTATTAGTGTGTTAGTAAATATTGTGTTAACCTTGTATTCGATTTTCAAGCTTTTCGACTGATCATACATTTTTTTATAGACATTTATAGAAACAATATTTCAAATTTCAAATCACTATAAATAACAAATAATAACTAAATTATACCACATTAATATAGAAAATTCTATTCAGAGCCCTACTTAGCTCCCCCCCCCCCATAAATTTGTAGATATTTGGATTTTGGACGAGCAGAATTAAATATATTGTTAAATTTCAAATTATATAAATGAGTAAGAAGAACAATATTATATTGGTAGGTAGGTACATGTAACTGCCATTTGATAATATATAAATTATGAAGTGAGTGTATGAATAAATGAATATTGTGTGCACAGTTTAGGCAACTTTTTTAACTTCCACTGAAAAGTAGGTATTGTGTCAACTTGACTTAGTATAACTTTAAATTACTATTTGTTGAAAAAACTAATAAATTATTTTACAAGTCATCGACTAAAAGGAACTTTTAGCCTTTGATTGCTTTGGACATCTTCCTTCGACAAAAGTTCGATGCATATGTTTCTGGCCAGCGTTGATACTTCATTTGCAGATAATTCCTTTGAATTAGTTTTGTTGGCCTATCATAGAGTTCGTTTTCTAGACGACTATACTTGATTTTGGTGAATTTGAAAATTAAAGAATTCTTAGGTACTTATCTATCATATGGTTATGATAACTGGTTATATGCACGTTCTAATATTTCATTTTAATTTTATGTTTGACTTTCGTGTTTTTTTGAAACACATCCAAGATATTGGTATATTATTTTTGAATGATTTTCTAGAAATGAAATATATTTAGCGTTCACACAAATTAATGCTTTATTTTATTCATCACGTCACTCATCATTTATTGTACTCATAATAATATTATGGTTTATTCGAAAAAAAACATTAAACTGCGCACAAAGTCGCAATCGAAACACGTGTATCCACTAGGCGTAAACATTTATTTCATAAGTTTCAAAGTACTGTTTGATAGACATTGTAGTCATCATATATAGGTACTCATAAATCAATAATTATTGTGGTTTGTTGATTGAGGAAAGTACAATTTTATAATTAGGTAGGTAATCCGAAATACAATAAATTCGTATACCAATATAGTCTTTAAAGGATTTACCAAAATTAAAATAATTATTAATAATGAATTTATATTTAATGATAATGTTATGCAATAACTAGGTCTGGAAATGAAATAATTTAAAAAAAGCTTTTATACTCTAATATTTTTAAAAAAACGCATATATATAAGGGACATAATTTTATTTATTTTAAACAAAATTTGAACCGAAAATATGTTTTAATAAATTTAAATTTAAATTCAAGTTTTAAGGACAATAGAAATTCAAAATTTTTTCCTGTACTTTTAATCAGAAAAAAAGATTTCATTTCATTTTCCGTTGCCATTCATTACCTATATCGATAATCGATGATTATGTCGTACGGATCAGTTCAAAAAATTACGATTGATAATATTCGATTAATTAAATCTATTGATTTCTATTGATATTTGAACGTTCAAATGATACTTTTTTAATTAAAAATACTAAATTAAAATTAAAGTGTTAAATGCCCTAAAAATCATAAACTTCTCTAAAAAAAAAAAAACAAAATGAAAAATCGATCTTAAAAATAAAAATTTTATATTCTAATTAAATACAAATTTAAAACATATAAATCTTAAAACGAGTATCACGTATAACTATAAATGTCTCTCAAATGTCACCTTTGAAATTTGAATACAACAAAAATCACACAAAACCGTAAAAGATAAATCATAAAATATATTATAATATTATATATATCTATACACCAATACAACAGAATCTTAATTATTTTGATTAATAGTCATGGTATACATTATTGCAGGAAACATTTCTACCTGAATTCTACTTTTAACCAGTCGAATTTTTATCGGCATTATTTTTAAAATGTGTTTTTAAATGAAATATGTTTGGTTCCCTGCTACTGAAATGAAAACCCCCGGTAGAATACACAGGTACCAGCTAAGTATTGACTTTTACCAGTCACCACTGTTGTATTTCAGAAAAATTTGTTTGTTCGCTTTTCGTAATAATTAAAATATTAATTTGACTCGTACAAAAATGATCGTCGATGATCGTACCTATATACACGAAACCGGCAAGACCGGTAAGTAAGTTATTACTAAGGTCGAGTCTGCTGAGCTACATCATAAAAACCACTCATTATAATATTTTTACATGTCATAACTTCATACCCTCCCTCGAGAGTCGCCTGCATAATCGGTGACGGTATAATATATGATAATATATAAATTACCTACCCATTTGTTTAAAATTGGACTTTTTTTAAAAAATCTATTCTTCTCATTAAATTTTAAAAACGACGTAGGTACAGTCTCTTTATAGGTACCTCCAATCTACATACAACAATAAATCGAGTACGCGATGTTATTATACATATATTTATATTATGGCTGATTTCGCCGTGTCCGTCAGACGAATTTATTGGTAGCCACAGTAGGTATACGTACATGGGTACTTATCGTTGAAAACCGGATCGACATAATTTTATGTTGTGATTTATTACTATTTTCCATTAATGTTGTATATAATAATGGGAAGCATGTGTAATATCTGCAGGTCACTACTATTATACGATTTATCGGACCATTTGTTCGACAAGTCAACCGAAATCGTGATAAAAACGCCATCGGGACTATGGTAAATACATATTTATGTATATATAAGTAATGTATAGAGCTGTATTGTAATATACTAATAGATAATTGATTTATTATCATCTTAATTGCCTATCTACTGGTGTATACACATATAGGTAAGCTAGTCTGCGTAGGGAAGTCTAGCCGTTGGGTGTATATATATAATGTATTTCATATATTATGTACAATGTATATCATACGGAGTGATCCGTTTAACATTCATCATTAGACGATGCACACCATAAGACGCGAGCCTTACGTTGAACAGATCTGCCTGTACGTACGCTTAACCTACCTATACATAATGACGATCGAAGTACACAATATACTTAGTAATATTATACATCGTATACCTCGCGCGAGAATGAGATAATGTGTAGAGAGAATGACGTAGGTTGTTACTTACATATTATACTACATGGTCTACATACCGATAAAGGTGTATTACATAAGTGTATTACATACCTACACTATAATAATTTATGTTATCACTAGTGTCCGTGTCATAACAAACGTATTATGGACGGAAATGTATATTATAATAACACATGGGTTAGTCTGAAAATCCATATCTGTTTAAAAACACGCGGCTGTACAGCGATATAATATCCAGTTTTGAATTTACATAATAATATAATATATTATATTGTGCATATTAAACGTAAATAGGAACGGCCAAACGATATACATCGAAATTAATTCAGACCCACCCAATTGACATTGTACATTATATAGTATGGGCACAACAATAATATGTAATGAAGGCATATACAAAAAGTAATGGCAATAAATATTAAATGTACAATTCGCACACACACACACATAACAATTAATATTAACAACACGGTCTCGTACAAGACGTATTTTATAACTTTTTCTACCCTGCGCAGTTAATGTAGTACGTCAAAGCTCTATTTGTTCACTTATAGTTTGTATGATGTCTTGTGGATCTGGTCGTCTTGTTTATATTAGGTGCCTCAGACTTTTTTGGCTAAATCCCTTGATCACCATCTAGAGTTTATAAATATAATCAAACCGATTCATTTGAACAATTCTTAATGCAAATAAGACACACGAGTGCTTCAAAAGAATCTAAAAACGTGAATTTATACACGCGTGTCGCGTGTGAATACTGCATATAGGTAGGTATTCAAAAACATAAATCTTTGCAGACAAAACATATTGTTCTATCAATGATTAATAGGTTCAAACTATGAATAATTATTTCAACTATAAAACATAACTATAATATGATTATATATATATGATAAATATTCGTTCGTGCACCATGCTCATAGATGCTCACTACTGGGCACTGGCACAAAAGTGAAGACGTTAGACGACGATTTTATTCGATTGACGGCCGTCCTCAAGATGTAACGGAGATTTTTCGAGTATACATTTCATCTTTCATGTATATTTTACAAATTATGACGGGACTTAAGGGCCGCATTTGTGTTATATTTTCACATAAAAAAGACATTCGACGAGTACATAAAAATATAAACGAAAAATTTTTTATTCAAAACATCAAAAATCGTTTAAATTGACATAACATAATATTATTATAATAAAGATATACTTGTTTTTATACTACATCGGTGATTATTAACTACATCGGTACAAAAGTCGATGCGGAGGTTCGAGAAATATGAGCTTAAAATAAGGTCACATAATATGAGAGAGAGAGAGAGAGAGAGAGAGAGAGAGTCAGTGAGCAAACGGGACGAGGTGGTCAAAAAAAAAAGGCCATCGCCCCAGACCTAACTTAGGTCGAAACCTCTGCGGGCTCCATTATGCGATGTCAATAATAATAATAATGTAATATTATTTGCCTAATACGGAAAACATTATAATATTATAACGCGCGCCGTAACGCTTTGCTTTACGACGAAATTTTACAAAATAATAATAATTATAATAATAATATAGTGGTAGGAATAATAATAATAATAATAATAATAATCGTACAGGTGAATTACGTCGATGCAGCAGTCCCGTGTTAGGTCTTATTATATTTAAGGGGTTGCAGGGCTACGCCTCCACTTTGTGCTCCGCTCCGCCGCCATTCTGCTGTCGCGAATTCTTTTGCTCGCGTCCGCTGCAGTTTTTGAAGTGCTGCTGGAGCTGTTCGGCGAGGACAGCGTAACCGGCAGCCCGAGCAACGTCCACCGGAGTCACGCCCAGCATGTCGGCCGGAGGTCCGGCTTCCACGTGCCCGAGGGCGAAGACGGCCGAGTGCAGCGACAACAAGTACTCGACCACTTCCGTTTGGTTGGTGAGCGCGGCCTGTGCGGAAAAAGTAATTTTGTGTATTACCTGCTCATAGAGTCCAGTGTTTCCCAGCAAAAATTTCGATACGGTGGTGACCCGCCATTTTTAGACTCTCATATATCCTGCCAGGTGGGCCATATAGATGGGAAAACACTAGCTCGGACAGCCACAAAAGATTGTGTATGCAATTTTTTATTATTAACATATAATTAGCCAGAATCAGCACGACATATTTCAAAATGCACACGGATTCGGCTGAGGGTTCAAATTCAGAGGGTCTACAGCGACGTGTGTATCCAGATTCACCGGTATTGTAAATTAAATTTTTGCAATATTTATCCATCGTCGAGGAAAAATTTTGGAAATCCAAATATTCGGCTAGGGGCTCGGGACTAGTTGTGCAAAATACGTACTAACTGCGTGCTAAATATATTAGCAAGATATTTCAATTATTACCTGGGTAGATTGCTATTACCTATTGCTTGTTAAGTATTTATGGTGTATAGTGAAAGAATTTTTTTACGACCATGACTACATGACGAGTGACGACAGGTATTTGATAAAACGATCTGAGGGTGTGTGCTCTAGGGCGGATGAGCGTGTCATACCTGGCGCAACACGATTGAGCACTTTTCATCTTTTATATTTGAGCAAACTCAAATATTTAAACAAATATTTTATATTGTTGGATTTACAATGCAATTGTTCTATTATTAATACAAACATAAACTGAGTTCATAAACATAGCCACTTCAAATTATCAGTTATTATAGTCATAAAATATTATTTACAGACCCGTGGTCGCCATATGTATAGTATCCACTGGTCGTATAAATTGTATATACCTATTGGTATATACGTATACCAAAGATGTGTTTCTTAAACTATAAGCCAACAATATAAAATTACATTAATTTTGGCCACAACCGTGTTATATATTCTCAAATATAAAAACATAAAAATGGCTCGATCGTGTAACCCCCCCCCCCCCCCCGTGGCTTATTTTTGTCAAGGTACAACTTCTGACGTAGTCTGAGAATAGTCAAAAACACATATCTCTCATATTTTCAAAAAAGCCGAGCAGGTCATTACTGAAACGATAAGATATATACAGAAACTCAAGAAATACAAATTACGATTATTCTAATCTCCATTTAAATTATTATATACTATATTCTATAGCGTACAACACGACTATGATAATATCAAAAACGAAAACGACTACGATAAAAATAGCTTACTGTTGACGGTAATAATATAATACGTACTGCGTGCAATGGTGTTCTGCCGTACATGTCCTTAGCAGAAGATGGGTCGGCTCCGGCGGCGGCGTAAGATTTCAGCCTCTGCAAGTTTCCCTTGGCCGCGGCACTGTTGGAATCAACGAGATTAATAACAACACAATAGCATGGCACAATAGTAAACATGAAACCAGATATCATTGAAAAAACTATGGTCAGTCCTTTTAAAATGCTATTTGTGTTATCTGTCCTTATCGTCAGATCGGATTTTTCATGTAAAAAAATATCTATTTATTTTAAGATTAGATTAAAAGCTGCATACGCATTTAAATAAAATTAATAAGCTCATATATATACAATCGCAGATCGATCAGCACGAACAATCACTGAACACTTAATGAATCAATAGTGAGCAGCTATAATTACTTGATTCAGTGGCCCACGATTGGTCTACTGTACCTATTTTAGTAATTTAGCGAACCATTAAATAATTTATTGTTTTATGGAACTTGGAGGAAATATTGGTCAACAATTACGGTTATTTTAAGCCATAGAAGTACCTATTGCACTCAAATATGTCTATAAGAACACTCACTTGCACAGCTGTTGACCGACGTGCTTGGCGGGCGAGTTGAGATGGGCACCGCACCTTCGCAACAGCGCCACCACATCATTTCGGTCGTTTTCGACGGCGTCGATCAACGGCGTCCTGTCGAATCTAAAACACGAGTAAAACGCAAAACATTTTTAAACAACTATAATAATATTTAGAATCTATTCTATACTATTATTTCGTCTCAATCCCGCCTCAGTGATATAATTGGTGTAGGTCGAGGGAGGTTTAGTGGTTACACAAGGAAGAGCTTTGATAGTTCTTTGTTAATAAATTACAATACGAAATAGAGTTTTCTATTTTTTTTTTTTTTTGGACTGCGGGGACAAGCGTTTAATACACTTACTGGTCTTTGATGTGTACGCTGGCTCCATTTAACAACAGGTACCGGACGATGCGGACGTCTCCCAAGGCGCACGCTAAGTGCAAGGCTGTACGACCGTCGGCGTTTTGTGCGGAAAAGTCAGCTCCCTGAAAAACGTTTAGCGAAACATTTTGAAATCGATACACATTAGGCAGCACAAAAAGATTGTTCCAAATAGATGAGCTTGTGGTTAGCAATGGCGGTGAGAATCGATTAGGTTTTTCCGGATATTTTCACGAGCACTACCAGCTTTCAGCCTTACGTACGGAATACTATGTAAACCTACCACAAGCAGACACATATTGACAATCTATACAGTAAATGGGTTGGATAGCATCTGATATACAGGGTGGATTACTATGATTTTCCGTTTTTACGTGTTAGTTAAACAAGGAGAAAATTAAATATACACGTTGTGCCACTCTGCATATTACGATGTATAGCCATATAGGTTACGTTATATAAACAGCACTGCGATAGAGGAATAAGATCAGTTTCTGAGTGTATATGCTATATGTGTATTTATGGTTTAATTTATATATTTATTTATTAATGGGCGGAACAACCCCTATACAACAGTTTCACATTATGAATTTATAGTTTAAATAATTAATCAAATAACTCACACATATGGATTTCACAAGATAACAATAACAATAATTATAAATTGATAATGATAAATATTTAGAATAATAAAGTAGTAACTACTCACGAAGCCTTTGAGTTCGTCCAGTTTGTTCAAGTCGGAACGAGCGACGGCGTTTCCCAGCATTGCGGGAAACAGGACGCCTCCGAGAGCTGTCAACTCTTGAGATCCGTTCACGTGCAATAGGGTGCGGGCCACGGCGTCCACTAGGTCCCACTCGTCCGCGGCTCGGTTTTTCCGTGGTGGTTTTGGAGGTCCACCGCTCATCTCACCCCTCAGATTTGCTCCAAGCATCTACATCATTTTACAATGGTAATTACATATTATATACAAGCTGCACCCAACTTTGCCCAGAAAAAAATGAACAAACATAAAATATGTCACAATATATCGGTGTACCTAGCTCTGTGAACTAATTCGACCGATCAGAGAACTATCGAACTACTCTTTAAACTTTTCTGATAACTCAAAGAACAATCTCTGAAACTATCTTCAAAATCGGTTTAGTGTTTTTAGATGAGTGTATAATGCTACATACATGATATATGGACATTGCTCTTTGTTTTAAGTTTAAATAATAAACAATAAATTGAATGTTATTGAAAAAAAAACAATCTTAAACAACGCATGGCGGATCGGTCAGCATGTACAAATTTGTTACTCAGGAATGGTATATAAGCTTTCTATTAATGTCATAATATTTTTAGAATCGATTCAGTAGTTACAAAGATCCCCCTACATATTATGCGAACACATTTTCATATTTATATATTAATATAGTAGACATAAGAATTCAGAATACGAATAAGGACGAACGTTTGTGTTTGTGTGTGCTTATTACTTACCATCCGCTTGGTGCTCAGGTCCCAGTCGTCCTTCGATAGGACGTACGAGAGTTTGGCGAGTGCCGCCTCGGGAGTGATGTCGTTGCCCGATATGACACCAACCTGGTTCAGCACCTGTTTGTATGTGCATACAAAATAAACAGAGACAGTGATCAGTAAAGTTGCCGTTTTCAAATTTTGGATGTAGGCGACACTTAGACTAATCCACTATTGTAATGTGCCTCCCGGCTAAATATTAAAATAAATCAATAATATTATATGCACATACATGCCCGGTTTGGTATACAGCCGTTACCGATCCCTTGAAGCACTGACTGCAGTTGAACACGATGACGCCTCGATCGGTGGCGGCCTTCAGCTCGGCCATAATGTCGGAGCGGTTGCCCGGCAAGTTTCCAGCTCCATATGTTTGGAGCACCACACCTCGGATGGGTGGCTGCAGGAACGTACGTACCTGTGTCACCCCACACCCGGTATAGCGTTATTATATAACATAATATTATCACTGTCTTAAATAACATTGTCAGCCCGAGGGCTTCGAAGAAGACGTCTGCACGAGGCAAAGTCATCGAGATGACGTCAATAAAATACGATCAAATATGCTTCGACGAATTGCAAAAAGTAGCCAATAGTTGGAATAAGTGTCCGAGTGAATTAAATTATATATTAATTATTATTACGTATATATCAATACGTCTTGATTATTTATACTTTTTTATTGAACATCTATAAACCGTTTTTAACGCTTTAACTAGGTTTACCGAGTGGCACCAATGTAGGTATACTTATAGTATCGCTTTTTATGACCACTTTTTTGCACGGCGAGGGCGATGATATCGTAACAATATATTTCATAAATATTATAACTATTGCCTACCGTATCGGCTGTAATGTTGGGGAAAATTCGCAGCAAACTGACGTTCTCATCCAGCTGTAGGTGAACTGTGAACTTTTCGATGGACCTCGGCCGAAAGATCTGTCTAAACGACACTGCAGTACCAACACACGAACGGCGATGATATTGAAATAATAACGATGGATCATTAAACATAAGTATAAAACAAACAGATTAGTTATAGATTCAATGTATTCGAATTGTTATTATTATGATATTTGTGGCTGACGCCTGCTGTGCACGGTCGCCAGTTAAGAGAGGAGCCTGCAAGAGAAATGCTCCATTGTATGTGATTGCGGTTCCAACCCCATGGACAAATGTAATATTTTGTGAGTGTATAATAGAATAATAGTGTATTGATTCTTAAAAAAAAATAATCTGTTTTACACAGAATCGTTGAAATAACTGTATGTTCCTTAAACATCACGTTGTAGTAATCATTATTTTAACCCAAACGGTCGAGTGACGAGACAACATTTCATGGGTCGAAAATAGTTTGTCTTACACCATGGCCAGATAATTAATTGCGCCCACGCCGAGGTTCATTTGCAGAGCAACGCACAACATTCATTAGCTCAAACAATTGTTGTGTTTTTGAGGAACAAAAATGTTTTTATACGATTTGAAGTACTTGTAAGTACAGTTAAAATTTTAACAATAATCTAATTTTGAACTATATTAAATATATCATATTGAGATTTTAAGGGCGAAAACTCCCCCTTCTCTAATTCTAGTTTTCATATTTTAAGGCAGAATATATTTATGTAAAGTTTTGCTTGTGTTAAATTTATATTAGAGTAATATATAGTAATTGGTCCTATCAAAACACTTTGAGATATGAATATTCTCTAGGATATCTTAAGATTTTATTGATATTACATTTTTTAATAAGTTATGACCATTTTAAAATTATTTTATTTTACATTCTTATAACTAATAACTCGCTTTAAAATGAGATTATCAATAAAAGCCTATGAGATGCATTAGATAATTTTCTTACCTACAGAATGTATAATAAATTAATTCTGCCAACACACAATTGGTGAATGAATAAAATGAACAAACAAATGCTGAACTCAAATATGCTATGTTTTAGTTTTGTAAGATGGATAGTACACATACTTGTGTGCTTAACGTCCTCTTAAGACTTAAGCGTTAATAAAAGATATAACTGACTTAATAGTCCACAAGATTTATAACAGTAAATACCATGTTGGTATGTGAAAACATGGGGGTTACAAGTAATCAGTATTGGATAATGTATTTGAGATATTATCTCACGTACCATTGATGTCGATCCCGATGACGGCCAGCGGCGCCAAGTTTGGTGAGTCGAACGCAGCGAAGCTCTCGCAGTCCACCTTGACAGTGCGGTTGCCGCGCAAAAGTTTGTTATGGAACAGAATCGTCACCTCGGGAATGCAATAGTTACCGGCCATCAGCAAACTGGTGACGAAGTTGTCACTTCCGTCGCTTCGCAAGTCGAACACCGGCAGCTAAATAAATACAACAAACCACCCGTAAACAAACAACATCGTAATATCACATTATACGATATCCTCTTTGCAGGCACACCACCAATATTGGTTAAGTACATTGACGGGATTAGAATTCTGTGGGATCCAAAAAACGCCTAAAAAATAATCTGAGGAATGTAATAATAACTGTACAAAACTGTATGTTTAATTCAAATAATTGAGGAGTGAGGCTAAATTTATAATTTAGAGAGCTGAACCCCATAGATCCACTAATCCACTAGCTGCGGTGATTTGTGACAATTAAACGACATCTACGATTTATCTGTGCGACCGAAAGTGACAGCAACAAAGTGACGATAAATCATTATCTATACAACATGTGCACGGAATAAACATCTGTTTGTCTATTTATGTGTTATAAATTATATCATTCAACGGCCATGTGTTTATAATGTATATCATGTGTTACTTAGGTATATATTAATATATTTTATCGTTGAGTTGGTACCCATACCATTTTTAATATTTTGTTCAAACCTATATAAACATCAATTATTTATCCATATAACTTATGAGGTAGAGTCACTCACAGATCATGGGTTTTATATAAATTAATAAGTAAAAAAATTTATGTGGATATAAATTATGTTTGGAGTCAGGGGTTGGCGAAGCTACAATGGTTTACGAATATATATATATATATATATTATATATATATATATATACATAGCTATTGGTGCCGAGGGGAGAAGCTGCAGCAGTCACAGATATTTGAGGATATAAATATATGACTAGGGACATAGTTCATAAGATTTTCGATATTTATATAGTAATTATAATAATTATAATTTATTACTTGAGCACCCGTAATGATGATGGTCTTGCCGAGGTTCTCAAACATGAACGACAGCGCGGACGCAGTGTACGCCAACGTATCGGTGCCGTGTAACACGACGAATCCGTCGTACAGTTCGTAGGCTTGCTGAAATACATTACAGTATAATAATAATAACAAAAATATTGTACTCCAAAAAAATTTCGTTGACATTATACATCTCCCACGCAGCATTTAAGTGTCTGTTTTCAAAATAGATCAACAATATATGTGTTAATAGTGTTGATACATATATTTCATGGTGTTAAGCATGTCTAATATCATGATGATAAATGCCTTTTACCTAAGGCCCTGAAAAATAAGATGACGGTGTAAGATGATTGATGGGCGAGAAGGCCAAGGCACCACAAATATTGTGAAAATAAAATTGTGTACTATTATAGAAGTCATTGATTCGCGGGGTGTAGACACTAGACATAAACCACATACATTTTCACAGATTGCATTTTCATGGATTTATAGAGAGCCTCCCGCCCCCTATTATAAGTAAAATGTGATTCTAATTGCGTCAATGCTAACCTCGGAGAGATATAATAATCAAGATGAAAAAGTATTATTTCCGATATTATTTGGCGGGACTATTAAAATGTCAGTATCGAAATGCTTTGATATTAATATCTACTCTAGTACTACAGTCAAAAAAAGTCCTGAACACAATATTATACATAGGTATATTGTTAACTTAATAACGGTGGTATATTAGTCTAAAGGATATCATAGCTCTAATTTATTTCGCCGGATTCGTCGAGTCTAATGAATTTTTTGTATATCCTTCTGACCGATTTAAGTATCCTACTAAAATATTAGGCACTCATATTAATAGAACAGTGCCTGCCTTTTACGGTGACTCAGTGAGACTGTAATATAACGGACACCGAGCGTGGACGATCCCAGCAGCAGACGATGCATGCAACACGTTTCATTCAAAATATAAGAAGTTCCTCGTTGAACACGTTTGAAAATCGTGAACATAATAATACATATAATTTAATGTAATACATTATGTGTACAATAGTCAGATGAAAACGGCTGCTCGGAAATGTCGAGATTTGTACCTACTTCGCCCCTTGCCAACCGAACATCTGTTTTCGATTTCCCCGAGGAATAGATCCCCTGCTGGGATCCGAATCGACACGTGATCGACCGCGGTGTATTGCATTTCTGGCGGAAAAACATACTTTCTCACGAGTCACTATTTAGTATTCACACTCAAGTTTTAGCCATCAACCCATAAACCGTGAGACCAAGTTATTAAAACGAATGATTAATGATATGTACTATATATATATATCATAATATACACATTATAAACGTACCCATATGTCTTCAGCAATGCTCCGCCAATCACGCATGCACATGTTGCTTGAGTCTAACAGCTCTGGGTATTGGTACACCGAGTAAACGATCCGTCGGAATCCCTTGACCATGCTGTGAACGCGCAAAAACATGACGATGATCGATATGTTATTTTATGGTTAAACTCAATTTACACTTGGCTATTTATCATTCATTCATTGCTATGCAGGTTTTTTTAGTCAGGAGAGTGTAATTATTATTGTCAAAGGTTAATCAGTAATCACAAAGACACCCGTAAAGAACCCGTGTATCTACGACGTCTATAAACCTGTAAGTATTATAATATTATGTACCAATATGAACTCCATTGGATCATAATTGTTCACCTATAAGAACATTTTTTGAAAACTAACAAAATATTTATTCGGACAAAAAACATTGTACCTATGCATATTTTATAAGAGAAAAATGTTAAATGTAAATGTAAATAATAATTTTCCTTTAAACTTTAGTCAATGTATGAATGTAATATGTACGGTACATCCATATTCATATATCCGTAATAATGTAATATACATATTATATTATGGTACATAATCTAAGGTAACAGCAAAACCTTGCATATGATATTATTATTGTCAGTGAGAATTTGATGAAACCATATCACATAAATTAATACCTATACAATCGTTTTATATTTGTCATCTTTGATTTAAAGTACATTGTTAAAGCTCGGAGTTGTAGGAGTAGGATATTATTTTCTTATATACCCACCCTCAGGCCTCCATTTTTAGCGAACTAAGCTAGACATAAATTTTATAGAATGATGAGTTTAATAAAAATCGAAAGTTTTAAGTTTAATTTCATATTTATTCATTTAATGTTTTCAAAATAGATGTTTTTATTTTATGAATACAATTTCACAAATATTGAAAATATATTTTATGAATATTTTTTAGGTACCTACCGGAAACCTTTTTTCAGTTCAATAATTATAAATGAACATCGGCAAAGGTTAACCAGTTTTCCACACGTAATCAGATATTCAGATATTTCTTTTCCGTTTTTTATTTATTTATTTAAAAAAATCAAAATTTGTACATAGGTAGTAGTACGTATATACAACAGTGTTAGTAAATATATATTTTTTAATTTGTTCCTATATTCAACATTTGTATTTTTATATTTTAGTATATTTAAAGGGTTAGTGTATATTTTTAGTCAATTTTAGTTACTATAACTTCCGAATAAACTTTGAATATTTTTACAATAATTATACTTACGGCAACACTAGCGGGCTGCAGTTCATGGACGCCCCGTACTTGTGTTGTGCGTACTTTGCGTCGTACAAACGGTGGTCCTGGCGCATCTTGTGCTCCATGAGAAAATCCGTGGAGTTGCCGTTGCTAGGTGTGGGCACCAACACTAAATAAAAACGTATAAAAAAATTAGCCAGAAATAGTCAGTGTCTTATATTTATTGTAACAAACTATATTTATGGATAAAAAGCGGATGAGTGGATGTTGCTCAGCCGTGCATTAGCTGTCTAGAAGGTCGCTGTGATGGATGGTATAAAATTTGAATTCAATGATATCATTGTACACGAAAAACGATTCTGATCGGAGACGGTATGTCAGTCTAAGATATTTTATGCTGTTATTACTTATTATTAATACCGCAGTTGGTAAATTGAATTAATATTATTCATAATATTATTCTTATATTATCAGTGATGCTGGAAAAATATTATGTATACCTCCTTATGTAAAATTGGGCTGTTTTGGAACAGAATTACAACAAAATGATTAAAATCGTTATTCTTTGTGTTAATAATATGTGTGATAAATGATATAATATGAATTAGAACTTGAATTTAAAATGTCTGTAAAAATTAAATGTGTATATACATTTTTAAGACTTTTTAGTTAAGGACAAAATCGAGTTAACATCCAATGTTGTAAAAATTTCAATTTCAAACTCGAAAAAATTTAATTTGACTTTCCAGTGAAATTTTTTTTTTTATTGATAAAGGTAGACAAACTTATAAGGAATTATCTTGTATCAATCTTAGATATAAAAAGAAAAGTGTTTATGAATTTCTCAAAATAATTTGCCATTTTTCATAATTTTTACGAATTTTGTTAAAATTCTAAATTCAAACGCTCATAAAAAATGATTGTGGATTTAAGCTAAACTTTTTTTTAATTTTCACTTATAAAAACCTACGAGGAACCTTGTATTACAGTTACAAGTTTTTAGACTGAGTGAAAAATTTTAATCGACATTAGTAAAAAAAAAAAACAAATAATCATCGAAAATTTCATATGCCTATAAATAGTTCAAAACGAGTCAAAATATTTTGTTTCTGAAAATGCCATGTCTCTAAGGTCATTTTTTTAGAGTTACACTAAAAACGAATATTGATATTTTCGGAAATTAGTCTTTCCTTAATTTTTTGTTTATTTTGCCTATCGCTTTTTAAAACTATTGGGAATTTTGGGAATTTTGACCAAATTTCCTAATGCATCAACTAAATTCATTTTTCTATCAGAAAAGTTGCTGTTGAAGAAAATCGAAGCATTTTAACTCCCCCAAGTCTAGGTGATAGCCACAAAAAAAAATAAAGAATAAGAAAACACATATTATTGTAAAATCAATACACTCATCGTACCGCTCAGAATCTAAAATGAAAACATTTAAATTAGCCACGTTAGTGTTTAACTTTTAAATTTAACTGTCACTTGTCAGAATAACATTTTCAAAACCTTAATAATATATAGTCAGAATGACATATGCACTTTGTGAGTTACTGTGACAGTTATAGTCAAATATTAAATTTCCTTAGTTATTATATGTATAATATAATAAAAGATTCATACGTTTTTCAAAGTATTCACTATACAATAATTGTGTATTTAATATTTATGCAGCTAATAAACTATATCGGTATTTTATGAAATGTGAATGCATGTGTTTGAAGTGCGGTATATGATTGTGGATCGTCCGCTTCTAGCATAACCCTCACTCACTCTCTCTCTCTCTTAAGAGTGGGCTTCGATTATTTGTTTTTAAGAATTTAAATTTGTATTTATATCAATAAATTGAAAAATAACTAATTAAATTCAAGAAGTTAATGTTGGGTGTAAAGTGGGAGCCAACAAAAGTTGCATTAAAAAAATTATCTTCAGACCCCACTCCAGGGTTAAGTTGACTGATCACTGCTGGCGTCGTGATATTGTGTCGTTGGGTAATCAAGTGCATGTAATAGTAAATAATAATAATAATAACGATTATACGACGGCGATCCTGTTCCGTGCAGTCTTCGTCGTCACCGCTCACGCTTAGTTAACGGCGTTTTGCAGTTGACTAACGATAATATTGAAACCATGGTTGGTAAATATGCACGATATAATGAATAAATAATAATAATAATACTGTACAGAGTTAGGTATACTATGACACTTGGTTAAGGATTATGCGACGATTACGTTATTACGCCTCTCCACCGGGCCCGTAGTGCTTATAATATTATTATGTTTTATACACGGTAGGTACTTGTAACAGGTCGTCGCCACTCGCGGGTCGGCGAAATCTAGAGCGTTCTTATAACAACTTTGTTGTTGTTGCTACCGTGCCGGTACAAGTACCTACATAATATTTTAATAGGTATGCCAATAAACTATACTATAAGTAACTAAGAAAACGAGAATCACTATAATTAATTACACCATTCGATTGTGTAACAATTTTAGCGATCGGCAATCGTTTCTAGGTGTAAAATATATTATAATGGACGGGACACGTGGACGAACACGTGTTCTCCGCAGCCACCACTAAAACCATAATATCGATGGTCCTGAATGTTTAATAAATTATCGGTTCAAGGCCTTCACAACTGCGAGATGATTAAGAAATTATGATATGTATTATTAAACTGCCTAGCTACAATTCACGGCGGACAATGTGCGCATAATTATTTCTGCGTTTCACGTCCGCCAGAACAAGTTTGAAGTCACGTGACTAACGAACGCATCGAACTCTGTGGATAAACGCACTTCAAAAGTGTGCATTGTGAGTACGATTATTGATTAGACGGTAAAAAAATAAATCGCAAAACGGTAATGCTATAATTTGGCCGGAACTGATATGAAAACGTTATATGTTGTATAATTATATATTATACTCACCTACTGAAACGTGTTCGCTAATAATTGTGAGTTTTCCGGCACTCCAATATTTAATTTTTAAAAAGTCAATCGATTAGCTTAAATTAATTAAATATTCAAAACCAGAAATGGAGTTACATAACATATTATGGTTAAAAATATGGTTTAACATAGAAAAGTGAGTGTTTTTATTATTCCGCCTTTCGATATCATAACATGATTCGATCGTCGGATCATGTTAAATCATATTTGAATACTTTCAGAACTTTTAGCTATAGAAACAAGAGTAAGGCCATCATATACGATATACTCACAATTAACCAAGCGACTTGATTATCCCGGGGTATCGTCAATAGAACGCCTATACCATCATGCTATTATAATATTATATTTTTATGATTTTTATTTTACATCGGCTATATACTGCTGAGTGAGTAGGTTTTAATATTGAACACTTAGGTTATTTCGAAAATTATCTACTTATTTAAAAAGTTCAAGTTACCTACGTTAAATTTCAACATTTTATATTGCCCTCCTTTTTTAATCCTGTGTTGACTCAATAGTATAAAGAAAAATACCTGATTTTCTAAAAAAAAAAAAACTAAGCAAAACATTCAAATATGTCAAAAGTATTGCAGGTATTTTTTAAATTTAAAAAAAAAACATTTGGACAAACCCGGTTGTGCTCAGAAAAATTTGGTCAGTGCCCAAGCAGTACTCGATTTATGGCCGATTTGTGTCTAAGTGTTTAAATACTCCTCCGATACAGGATAGATCGATTCCAATTATTATACCTACGTCCAACTGTTCTGACCGTTTTTACAATAATTCCATTTAAATAATAGCATAATACGTCTCAACCAGCTGCAGCTAGCTTATTATATATTATCATTCATTTATCGTGTATTCTTATTTATTTCTTATACTCTTACTGTTATCGTCGTTCCGGATCATCCCGATGGTGCCGCCCGTGTAGATGACCAACACTTTGGACTCGTTCTGGTCGCCATCCTCGTTGGCGGTCATCGAGTCGCACCGTCTGCGAAACGGCTGCGGCGGCGTGGACCCAAGGTACGCCTGCGACGGGGTGGACCCGAGATACGACGGCGAAGGCGATGACAGACGGTACGGCTGCGGCTCGGTAATACCGTCGGCGTGACCGTTCTCGCCGGACTTGCCGATCGTTGGTGCCGAGCTTTTAGCAACGTCGCCGTTTGGTCGCGATTCTAGTAGCGGTTTTTGATCCATTTCGATGTGAAAAAGTTATAGGTTTATGATCTCACTAAAAACTAAGCAATATTATAGAAACAGTAGCAATATAGCAATTGCAGTAGCAGTTTGTACAGCGTCCGAGCCCACGTATATGATGACCCACGACGATCTTCGATGCAGCACCTGTAAAAGCGGGATTCATATCATAAAATCAACTGCAATATTTACTCACAAAATATATAACTTACTGAAGTACCTATGTTAAATATTTAGTATAATATAGCATATATGTCTGTGTAATTGGAATGGATATGTAGGTACTAGTTAGAAACTAGTTAAAGTAGTTAATTTGGGTGTTCCATTATGTGGAAATCATTCGTTAGAATTATATATTTTGATGTAAAAATTAAAAGCTGTATCGCTTTTATTGTCAAAAATAATATAAAAATAAGAATAAGAATAAACGGTGTATAGGTATCACCAGTGCTCGATTAAAATAGTTGGTAGTTTAGTTACATTTCTCGTTTTGTGTGGGTTTTCAAGACTGAATTCAAGGGAATGCCATAAATTATATAGGACATCTATTAATATGTACAACAAAACTGCGATCTACCGCCGTTGTGCCGCGCGTCACCAGTCAGACGGCCAAAATACGTAGGGACGCACGGTGATAATATTTTGTAACAAATGCTAAATTTTTTTTAGTATTATAATTCAATATGTTTCACAAAAGTCTGTACGGTTTAAAGGATCAGTAAGTATTTTAAATACTTTCAATATTGGGGCCTATAAAAAAAATTAAAATCCAAGATTGGTCCGATTACAATAATGGGATTTGTGTGAACACGAAAAAAAACATTAGCATAACATGACAACAATAATTTTGCTAGATATTAAACTAAATAATTGTACGAGTACTATTCACATTATGTCCGGTGATATAGGTACCTAATATATATATTTAGTTGTGTCAAATCGGACAGCATTGCCCCGATTTTTCATGCAAACATGGATGTTAAGTGAAGCATTGGGGACATTTGGCTTGAGTGGCAAATGTTTAGATGTAATAATTATTTGATGGTAAAACAACACCACATTTTTTTAAATAATGTTTTTCAAAATCATTTTTTAAAGAATAATTATTAATTAGCGGACCGAAGCATTTCTGTTTTCATCCGTATTATTTTCGAGGAAATACCTAAGTATATAAATTATAACATTATACACGTATTAAACACCGGTATAAAAAATCCTGATACACAAATCACCGTGGCATGAATCGCTTGTTTGCCTATATTATAACTTTATGATTACTGAAATTTATATTTGAAGTTTAAAACGTTATATTTGTACATTAAAATTATTAGTAATTAGTTTAGTATCCTCCCGTTCATAATATTATATAACAAAGATTATAATATAGCCTATACATAATATATATATATATACAGCCGAAAAGCGAAAAATGATGAAGCCCAGGTTTCTTTTAATATTTCATAAGTTTTTTTTTTTATACTTGTGGTAAACGTATATAACTTAAGTGGGCTGTTTCGGAAATAGAGCCAAATAACAAAATTTGTTTGTGAAGCGTATGGATGGGTAGAAATAATTTCTCAACACGGCGGCATTGCATGCGAACGCATAATACAAACAAAGTATAATAATACTATGCTACCGCTAATGATGACTGCGATAATTGATATCACATTAACAATAACAATAATTAAAAAATATAATATTATAAATATTAGCTGTGCTCACCGGCAACTTGCGGGTGTGTTTCGATCGAAAACGGTTTGACGAGCCCCGTGGACCAGGCGCGAACGGGACGAGACGCTTGACGACCGGCTCTGCAGGTGCAGTTGTTGCAAGTGATTGAGATCCAAGTAGGTGTGAATTATTGTGTCGACGACCAAAAAAAATAAAATAAAATATAACAACAATATCGCCGCCGCCGGAAATTGTGAGCGGCTATGATATCGTATGCGCGTGCAGTGCGAACACGAACTGCGGCCGATGACGATTGTTAGCTGTTGCCGACGCCGCCGCGGCCCGTTTGAATGCGACGGTTACCGGTTGTGCTGCAGCGGGTAGAGCCGCCCAATGGAAGGAAAGCCGTCGCTTTTGCTCTTCGCTGATATAATTATTAATAAGTACATAATAGGTACATAATATTGCAATATTAATTGTTCCGATGGTAATACTCGTACGAGTATGTAATAATAGTATTATAATATAGCAATAGAAAATAGAGCTTGCACGCACGCGCGCAAACGCAATAATTAACGTAATAATATAATTATAATTAAAATAATTGCAGAAATCAAGTTAATGGTTGATATTATTATAATGATGATAGTAATTATAATTGGCATTTATTTATTGTTGTTCGCGGTCGCCGCTTGGCGAGATAATAACGAGAAATGGCGATCAAATGATTTCGTTCGGAATACGTATAGGTAAGTGATTCCTAGCACAGGTGAATCTGGGAATGATAAAAACAAAACATAAAGGTCTTCACTCCTCAGAGACTATTACGTGAACAAATAATAATTTCATTATGGTTTTATGGTTACGGTGTGCTTAAATACCAAAATATCCGAGTGTGATAGTTACGTACAAAAATAACTGAAAAACAAAAATGCTTGAGGAAGAAACGCCCAATATTGGTGAAAATGTTCAGTAGGAGGGGACCAGTTCTCTCTATATACAATATAAGGAATATTATAAAAATATATGTACGGAAATATCGTGATGCACAGTTTTTTATCGTTTTTTTCTGGACACTTTAGCAGTGAATGTTATGTTCTCGGATATGTTTACCTAGATTCATAATATTTTACCCATATGGTGATTTCGGTAATTTAAAGTCGATATATATTATCACTGCCCTTGAAAAGTATTAATGTTAAAAAAAATTGTATTATAAATAATAATAATAATAATACGTTGTTTGATTAGCCGTCTCAAACTTCGCACTATATGCAATATATTTTTACAAATTTAACGTAAATAAATTTTACAAAAATCATATTGAATAATGTGTAGACTGTAGTATTTAAATAATTAAGCAAATTTGACAGTCTTATCTAGTATTTAGGCTCTATAGTATTGTATTTTAAAACGTAATTACATATATGACTAAGATGAAATTGCATTTGGAATACATTTAACTGTTATTAAGACATGTACCACTAAACAATAAGATGAAATCATCAGGTCCTGCTAAAAATACACACAAAGTTATAATTTTGTTCATCATCGTAATCACTTAAGCAGTTTTAAAAGCGTTTTATTTTTATCTATACTCTTTAATTTAAATTTGTTTTAATCCACATTAATGACCTCTATATCTTTTGCAACATAATTTACTTCATCACAATCGCCAATCTTTATTTAAGTCATTTGAAACTAACATTATTGGGTACAGTCAGTACAATCAGCAAACAGTATATTTTATACAGAAAAAATACATTATACAGGGTGATTCGACAAGCATGCTCTCTACTTTTTCATTTTTATAATGAATTTATTCAAATTCTGATATTTGAAATTTTTAGTTTATTTTAGGACAATATTCTCAAATATTATACTTAGATTTGTCTACAATCTAAGGAGTTACGATACCAACTTTTTTCGTACTTTTTAGCATTTTTTGAACATGTTGGTATAACTTAAAATGGGATATATTTATAGATATTTGAAAGTTCAATACAAAGTTTCATTTACAACAATTTAAAAAATGAAAATATGTAGACACAATGTTTTCATAGGAACCTGTTTGAACCAAGTTCAAATGTTGATAAATTATGTAGGTTTTATAAACGAAATACAACATTTTCTTGTTGTAATTAAAGAAATATGATTGCAAATATTTGAAAAGTTTTACCATAACATATCATTATTTTCTGTGCTAGGTGAAATTTTGAAAATATTTAGACTAATTTTAAGCTATTTAAACCATTCTATGGTATGTTGGTATTGGCTATTAACACTTATAAATTATATAATAATATAGGTACCTAGGTATTTATATTGATTTAATATTTTAATATAATATAATATATTTTAAAGTACCTACTTGACACTATAATACTATACGTAGGCACAGTACACACGACATCGGTTGGACACTTTATAATAAAGTAAACGGTAATTTTCATGATATTACAGTATTACACAATTATTTAGTCGATACCAGGTAACTCAAACCACAATTGAACTCACATTATTATATCAAAAATTATCCAAATCACAAAAAAAATAAATATTATTTGTTATAATTACATTCTGACTCACAACTGTCTTACTCGTGAATAATATTGATACATCATACATTGTTACATAGGTACCTCATTAATAAAATAAAATTGTAGTAATCTTAAATTCGTATTCATATAGAACTTCCAGTTAACAAAATTGTATTTAAAATTCTATTTAAAACTGTAGTGAATTGTATGATACATAATAGATATCGTATTATATTAATAGGTTTTTAATTTTTATATAAGTATATTTGTAACTTATATAACATTATAATTACAACTGATGTCCGATACATATCTACCAGACGCAATCGACATTTAGACATTCTTTAAACAAAACTATGTACAACAAATTATTTCAAGTAATAAATTAATTTGAGTATCTATGTGTTTAATTTAAAAATATAAAACAGTGTGGGACAGGCCCTCCCCACTTCCCGATTATCGTTGTGAGCCTCCGATTTTGTGTTCTATATATTATGGTGCCTAATGCAAAAAGCCAAATATGTAAAATATCTTTGACCAATTACGATTTTATTATCTTCCTTGTGGTAATTATTCTATTAGGTATATTGTAATAACTAATAATGTGTATTGTCTTCAAAGTAAAAAAAAAACAATAAGTACATCAACCTAAAGCTCATTATTTTAAGATTGGACTTTAAAATAATAAAACTTAAGTAGGTATGGTCAATGACATTGACCAGGGGTTTGATACATTTACATTTTCTTTAATAGGTACTACATTTTATACCATGCACGTTTTTAAAGGAAATTTAATTCATGTAACTCATGTAATTTTAATTTGCATTTTTCTACTTTAGTTGTAGGTATTTTTTGAATTTGTCTTATCTTGAGTCAGATTTTTTTGTTCTAAGCATAAGTTTTTAAAATTAATTATTTAAAATATAACTAACCTAACATGTTATCCAGTCCAGTCTTTCAAGTATTTATATAATACAGAATACTATTTTTATATTTGTTAAGAATACAGCCACAGTGAACTAGTAGGTATAGACTCTTATATACTCGAATATATTTTTACTTAACTTCTGCTCATATTAACATATGAACCTTAAAAATAAATCTCCGTTTCGATTTATTTAAAATTTAAAAACTATAATATATTCTAATTTTAAAAATAAATTCACAATCAATTTTTGAAATTTTTAATTAATTATTTATGGTTTTAAGTAATTTTAACATTAAAAGTCAAGTTCAGAGCAATATAGTTATGATTGTTGCGATGATAGGTAAACAAATACCTATCATGTAAAACACCCTAAAATACTTTAAAATCAAGGTAACCTTTAAACATTTTTAAAACGTATTTATTTATATTATCAGTAATAATCTGATTTGTATAGAATTCAATTATTGAAGTTTAAAAAAAATCGCTTATAAACAAGGTAATGGACCCTCCCTTTGAAAATCATTGTGCTGGAGTCCAAATCATGAGCCAAACCTACACCACAAGATATGATAAATACATTTAACATTTTAAATTAATTCAGATACGATAACCTACACGTATTTAAAGTTATGCGTAGGTAGGTAGGTAGGTAGGTAGGTAGGTATCTACTCAATGTAATCTATATACATATACATTAACAGTTTTTATATAATATGTCGAGAGCAGTCTAAATCTAACTGATTAATTTTAGCTAAAATAATTCATGATAAACATATTACCTGATATACAAAGTTAATAAGATACTCAACAATACCTATCTATATACATAATAATATTGTTAGATTATTTATGTAAATATATTAAGTAACTATGATGTATGACTGCTAATCAAATAATCGTATACTGTCATTTGTTTTACTTTATCAAGAACTTATGTTTTGTACTACTTTTGATCCATATTAATACATATTGTAGTACTGAATACTTAAAGTAATTATTAATACAACATCGTTAGTTACGCATGGATATCTAATAAGTTATTTGCACTTTATTTATACACAAACATTCCCGTAAAGATTATACATACCATATTATGTGAATATATCTACCTCGAATAGTAGGTGCACCTTTATTGTTACACTCGCAGTCTGCAGTCCAATAATATAACATTTATCACATATACGTCAGTGATATACCATTGTTTGCAGAGGTTCGAGTTTTCTGATTCAGTAACCAAACTGTTCAAATTATGTTAACTTAATCCATAATAAAACTGACTAAAGAAGTTCCTATTAATCTAGCGCTTACCAAGGAATTTTTTTTTTTCAAAATGTATTAAAGCAATTTTTGCAGCTATAATATAGGTTCATTGTTTATTTCAACTGGTTACAATTGCTAGAAAAAAATTTAATATTGAAAAAATCTATTCAAGAGAAACACTTAGTTGATCATTTTATACTGATATAGCCTATAGATTACGTTTAAGCTATACAGGAGAAGAAAAAATGCAAAGACTAGAAGATTATAAATTTTATCTCTATAGTTTATTAGGTATGCATAATGTATATAATATAATTTAGGTACCTACTTATATATACATATATATATGAAGTATGCGTTAAAATTTGCATAAGAAATTTCAATTGCTTTGTAACTACAAATTACAACTTGCTATCATTACAAATGAGATTAAATTAAAAATTTTTATTGCTCTTATTTATAAATTTAGCGACTTTATTGATATCATAATTGCAAGTGCAATAGTATTAGTAAAGTTGTAAGTTATAATTAAAAATAATGAGATATTATAATTAAGAGAACGTGATACCCGTATGGATATATCTTAGGGGCAAGTATACTGTCTCTGTCAATCAACGGACAATACAGCAAAGTTCTAGTAGGCGCCTACCCAAAATCAAATTTGTTGTATCTTGGTTAATATTAGAGTTTAAGCAACTATAACACAATACTTAGAAGAGAATAATTTTGAAACAATGTCATGTCATTCTTGAAAAATATTTTCTAACAAAGGTGTCCCAATATTATAGTAAATAACCTAACCTAACCTAACCTACCTACCAAAGTAATATAATAATATAAAACGAATATGCTGTGGCATTTTATTTTTTAGACAATATTTTATTCAAAAATATGACATTATCTCATAAATAATCCTCTCTTCGAATAAAGAATGTGTCTTTAATTCAAATGTTGACTTTCAAACACAATAAATTACAATTTTATAAACCTAGTCTTTTTTTGTGGTAAATACGAATTAATCCCAAATTTGATAAATGTGTGTAATATTTCATGATAATAAGTATAATTTAGCTGTTTAAAATTATAAATAGATAAATTTAATGACTAATATCGATAAGCATTTGAGAATACAAAATAAAAAAATGTACGGGACTTCATTGATATATATTGATATATTCGTTTTTTTGGTTTTCTATTTTATACATTTTTCGTATAATATAGGTATCTACTTAATAATTAGTAGGTACAAGTATATTTTTTCTTGTTTAAGTATAATTTCGTCAGATAGCATAGGTAAATACATACGTACATAAATACATACATATACTTACGTATAATATATAGCCATACACCCACCTGGCCAGCCATATCAATAAATATTTGGTCAGTTACTTTAGACTATAGTCTAAGGTTAGGTTCTTAATATATTAAGACAATATTATCCATTGTTATAAAAAGGAAAACAATTAAATTTCTCAGGGAATCTCATAATATATTGTTCTTGAAGTTAAAATACTGTAATACTGATAAATTTTACTGCTACAGAAATATGTCTTATATTCTTATGTAAAAACCCTGTATGCCTACTTAAAATTGACATATTATTATTATGATATTATAGGTACACACACGAACTCAGAATTTAAAATTAAATTTGGTTTTTGAATAAACTCGTAAAATTTTATAATTTTTTTTTTTTTATATGAATAGGAATTTGGATGCAGCACGCGACGTCGAGTATAATACAAAAGTATAATTACATAGGTAATAATTACTTTTAATCGGAGTTGAACACTTTAAAAACTGCTGACGTAAATTGTAAAAAAAATGTCAAGTGTGGGATTATTGATTATTAAACATATATACAAGAGGATTAACAAGATACAGTCAGTATTCAAAATATTTTACAAAAAAACAATTAGATACCTACATTCAAAAATGAATATTTTGTATTAATAACAAATTAACATGTAAAAGGTAAATAATTGACTAAATAAAATGTACCTAGTACCTACATGCACAAGGTTAAGCTAACTTAACCTGGCAGTGCGATACACGGTATATATAAAGAGCAACAACTATAGTTTGCCCACATTTACCTTTTTTACAACTCGTTTGGGCATATATATTTTGGATACCCGTGAGTCGTGACAAAAATACCTAATGTCAGATCATACACATATCTTGTATGTACTCTTCTTTATGTAGGTACAGTTTCCTTTTCTTAAAAATTCATTACATTGTTTTGTATTGAGTCAATTTTTAAATCTTTTTCACTTTGAATTTGCATGAGTATTTCAATGACTTGATGTATGTGTGGATGTGGTGTATAAAATTGGCTATTATAATAAGTTTACGGAAACTTTCTGCGCTATTCGTCGTCTTGGAATTACATTTGGTTCACAAGCCCATAAGATTGGTCGAAAATTGCCGTCAGAGTCAATATAATTTTCTAAAATATAATCTAAGAATCTAAAACTAACTGGTGCTACGGCCATAAGATCTGTAAAGCCATCTGGAAATTCATTGGGTGGTAAATAACTTAAACCATAAAAATACTTCATCCATTTTCCAACTTCCGAATCTTTTAAGTACTCGGATAATAATATTTTATTTTGTTGTTTTTGCCGGAACCAATTTTGTCCTAAATGAAAGGTACAGCCAAACATTTTACATTGAGGAAACATTTTCAAAACAGTATTAAGCGCTGCTTTTTCAAAATCAGCATGCATATTGATTGAATTAATTTTATTTCCTGTCATTTGTAAGCATATATTGTGTAGTTATTGGCACATTTGTATCTTGTATGTAAGCACTTGTATGCTTGTTACTCAAAAAACAATTAGCTACAGATAAGTAAAAATTATTTTGAAAACGTGAATCGTATAAACGATAGGTACGTCTATATTAAAGAGTTTATGTTGTCAACAAACTAGTCACCAATGTACTGAATCATACCCACTGAAACTATACTAAAAGTAGTTTAGAAAATCTAAAATAATATAATCTACACAATCGATTATAAGATAATATTGCTATAAAATATTTGTTGATTTGCACTGCATTCTGTGACATGTATAATAAAGGGTTAATAATATAATATTGGTTTAATATGTTATATTATTAATATAAAGTCTTATGTTAGTACTCTTTTATACTACCTAATTATGTATAATTATAAATTAGTAGAATATGAAAAAAACTACCCACCAGTAATTTATATTCAAAAATGTTAACAGCAATAATTATATTAATATTGAACAGTTTATTTTACTACAATCACTTTGTATACAACAAATACCTAGGTACTAAGAAAATATATTACAATATACACATAACACATAATATGACATATTAATATTGATAATGTAGTATAATAAGTGTATGATTGCACAATCTTTAAAATGATATAATTATATCTATAAAATGTATATATTATGTAAATTGTATCGGTATTCTTAACCATAATATTAATAACATGACATTATTAATGATATAATAATATACATGTAAACTATTCAGATTACGCTGGTAGGTACCTACTTTTGTTTTTATTTGGTGAGTACCTATTATTTATCTATCTGTAGTAGTATTCTTATAACTATATACGATATATATATATATATGCTTTACAATTATGGGTTTTTTTATTTTGACACCATTGATTTGGAGCAGTAACGATCCTTTGATTTTTAACATTGATGGGTGGCTTCTGCCTTTTGGTAGCAAATTGGATCTAGATTCTAGTTAGTACTTTGTTTTGGTGAGGAGGGGGGGGGAGGGATAAGAAATTATCTAAGAAAAAAACTGAAATCTTGAGCAAAACCAGTTTTTGAAGAAATCGATTTTGTTTTTGGTGTAACTCAAAAACGAAAAAATGTAAATTTTAAAATTGTTCAAATTAGCATTTACTAGACATGAAATAATTTTTAATGAATAAAAAATAAATATTTTGGTTGGTTCATTTTGTGGTATTCATAAGTATATTTTATATTTTCAACTTATTAAGTTTTTTATTTATAAACCATATTGTTGTGTGAAATACCTACAATTAAGTTTTTGGATGAAAAAAGTTTAAATATTTAATATAATAAAGGGAATTCCATACAGACAAAATATGTAACATGTAATTCAAAATATGCAAAAATATATGCTTAAAAATTATACGAAAAATTGCTTTATAAATTTTTTTGTCAATTTACAATTTTACAAAAATACAAAAAATCATTAACACGGGAATGTGAATAATGAAATTATGCATTTATTTGCCCTTTTAAACATGTACCTAATCTATTAAATATGTAAAAACAGGTAGGTACAATAAGATTTCGAATTTGATTTATAAATAACACAAAACAAATTTTGATTGAATCTATTTTCTGATACGATGTATGAAAAAAAAATCATACCTATATATATATTACTCATAAGTTAAATTTTATCACAGATATTATAATTACAAAAACTTAACATTTATAAAAAATTATATAAAACATTTATAAAAAACAAAAGAAATGAAAATTTAAAATGTCCGTCAACAGCTTAAAACAAGTCAAAATATTTAGTAAATTTATCAAGGATATGATTTAATTAAATAAACGTGTGGTGTAAATTTTGTGGTTTTTACGAATTTTGTCAAAATTTTAAATTCAAACTCTCATCAAAATTATTGTGGATTTATTCTCAGCTTTTTTTTTTAAATTTCTACTAACAAAAACTTGCGAGGAACCTTGTATTACATTTTTAAGTTATTTGACAGAGCACAGAGTTTTTTTTATCGACATTAGTTTAAAAAAAAACAAATAATAATCGAACATTTCATATGCCTATAAATGGATCAACATGATTCAAAATATTTTGAAAATTGTCTAGTGTGTAGAAAAGGCTAATACAAACATTCAGTGAAAATGTCATGTACCAATGGTCATTTTTATAGAGGTACACTAAAAACCAAAATCAATTTTTTCGAACACTGATTTTGCGTAAAAATTCCCGTTTTTCCTTAATTTTTTGTTTTTTTCGAAAACTATTGGGAATTTTGAATTTTGATCTCCCGAATGATGCACCATCAAGATTCACTCTCCTGTGAGAAAAGTGGGAAGACAATCGTAGCACTTTTACTGCCCCAAACCGTGATGACGGACACAAAAAAAAAAATAAAACACACATCATTGTAAAATCAATACATTCATCGCTCTGTTCAGAATCTAAAAATGCAATTGTCAGAAATGTTGCGGTATCAACATTAGTACCCATTTAAAAAAGACCAGCTGCATGGTAACAGATAAAGTAAAGTAAATTATTTTATCTTGGACAGCTGTATCATCAATAATTAATCTACATTGTTTTACCATTTTCTATATTGTAAAATCGACGTAAAGATACAGCTATGTAAATAATACGTATAGTATGTATTTATTATCTCAGTGAATTATCTCAATAATAGTTTGACATTTTTATATCAGTGGATGTTTTTTTAAACTCAAAAACCGACGGACTAGCTCCAATTATTTTCTAATAATTGTATTCAGTGTTTCTACTTCCCAAACAATTTATACATTAGTATAATAATAACTAATGAAACTAATATAGTAGGTATATAGAAACCGAGTTTTCAACTTTCGAACGAAATGCATGTTTGAGCCACCTATATAGGTTATTAATGGACCAGTAGGTTTTGAATCTATAGAGGACTAACACATAATAATTATAAACATTCATTATTTTTTATGTATTAGACAACGGGTACCTAACCTAAAGATATTGTAATTTTGTCATTTACAATATAGACCACTACTATTATTATTATTATTACTTACAGATTTTCACGTACCTACGACAAAAAATATAAACACCTAATTATGCCACTCGGATAGGTTTTTGGTCTCTATTCTGCCCACTCGGAGAAACCAGTAAGACTGTCCAGTGTGTGCTGCAGAGGCCGCGGCTGAGCAATAATGAACACGATTAATTACATTGTTGACAATATTTACCTAATTGTACACACACTCACATTGTTTTCCGGCATTAGGCGAACATGATCATAATATTGCAATTTTTTGGGTAAGTGGGTGTCAAACAAACGAAAAAAAAAAATATGAAACCGAAATCCAACACTCCGATTAGGTACATTAATTGTTATTGAACTCATTGAAGTCGGGCCGCTAAAATTCGATTGCGGTCAGAGATCGATTGAGGACGGTGCTGATCAACACTTGCGTTTAAAACGCACAATATTAATTGATGTTTTACTCTCGTGATATTCTTATACGGGTATTAGTTGAAATGATATTTTCACGATTAATTTTTTACTTTTTAGCTACAACAATGGCACAACAATAATAATATTATGTAATATCATAATACGTCTCGTGTGCGTTGGCAACACCGTAAACGCGGCCTGCCGAGTGACGACGACGACGGCGGCGGCCGCGGAAGTTCCCTCGAGAATCGAGATATCGTGTAATCATAAACGACACAATGGAGTGGGCGTATTAGCGTTTGGCGTACGCCGCCGCCGCCGACGTCGCTCTTATCACATTGTTCATTGTACATTTCGTACCCACTGCGCGCAGAGAGTGCGTTCGAAGTTGGAACGACACGGAAAACAGCTAGACAATAATATATGACGTTATTGTTATTACGATTCACTACCCTCTGTTTCGACGACATTTTAGGTCTGTTGTAATAATTCGTCGTCGTCCGTTTAGTATACCGTTGTTCGCGTGTCCAGCGGAAACGAAGTACTCCGCGATTACGATAGTCGCGTTCGATCCGTTGTCGACTGTTGCAGTCCGCAGGCCCGTCACCCATCGACGATCGTCGCGGTATTGTACGCACGCGCGATCGACGTTTTTCGTATTAAATGCGTTCGCCGACATCGTCTGATCTTTGCTTGCCGTCAGGACGGCGACAAGAGTGACAACAAACACAGTGCCATTATCATCGGTCGGCGTAGACGCTCTCAACTCACGAATCACTCGATTTTGTTTCTAGTCCAACGTCCGTCCGCCCGCCCGCTCCTTGACTGACACCCCCTGTGAAACGGAGTCAGCGTCCCACGTCCGTGTGCACTATGCTTGTAAGTACCCTCATCTGAGTTTATTGTTAATTACTTTTGGCCCTCGAATGAGCTTTTCGTTCGACTGCCGTCAGATAGTTCGCACCGGATATGTTGTTTGCAATGATGGGTCTGGCTAAGACTGTTCATCGCAAGTCCCTAGTCCAACTAGAGGGTGCTAAAATGATGTACATCTTACTAATCCACTTTGCAAATTAAAATATTTGTCATATTATTCAAATAATTAATAACAACTACACATAACATACGTTTGGTGTTGATTAATATATCTAGTAAATACAATGTATTATTTTAAAACTATTTTCCGACCTATTTTCATTGTTTTTGTGCTGTAATACCAACACTTATTCTGTTCTTATGTTATTTGCAACTTCCTCCTCAATATTTAAAATGGACAAGTCTATATGTAAACAATTTCTATACTTGTCCTCAAACAATTTTCAGTTTGTTGCATTGGTACTTATAAAATTTCTTTCACATAATGCAGAACACATTAGAATTGTAACTGTAATATGCAATAACATGTATAAGTTAAAAAAAAAGTTATTTGTTTTTTTAATATTAACATAAAATAACAAAAAATCTTGCATACATTAGGTTAGGTTATAAACATTATTTTTGATATTTTATAACTGTGGCTAGGGGATGATTTAGCATCCCAAGCACTGGTCCAGACACATTTATCGCTAATTGTTTTCCTGTTTATTTCTATATGTTAAATATCTACACAATAATTTTTTGTTTTTAGTCCGACGAGTTTGACGTGGAAGAAAACAATTCCCAGAGTGATATATTAAACGAAGTAATTATTCTGTTTTATCATGCATTTCATCTGTTTGTCTTATTTTAATTTCTAATGTTTGAATTTGTACAACAGGGAAGCAATTCTGAGAATGTTGATTTAAGTGATAATTCTCTTCAAGTTGTTATTTCTGACGCTCTCAGTGAAAAGGATCGAGTCAAATTCACTGTCTTATCAAAGGTGAGAGTCTTATTACTGTAATACAATTTACTAAAGACAACTATAATAATTTGATGTTTATGGTTTAGACAACATTACCAGATTTTCAAAGATCAGAATTTTCAGTTGTGCGTCAGCATGAAGAATTTATCTGGTTACATGATCAGTTTGAAGAAAATGAAGACTATGCTGGATTTATTGTTAGTATGGAAATTTATGTAAATTAATTCATTCACTTGAATTACAGCATTGACAAAATACTAATGAGAAACGCATAATGATTGTCTAAAAACATTTTTAAACACATTAAGTTTAGTTATAAGTTATTAAATTTAAAAACGCTGAAAGTAAAAACTCATTATTTCAAACAGTTTCTTACCGTATAAATACAAAAAGAAAAAATGGATGGATTAAAATTAGATAAATAAACTATCAATCATCAATTTATTTAGGCATAATTTAATAACTAATACATTAAGTAATTAAAAAATGTATAGAGTAAGATCTTTTTTTTCCTTAAGTCAAATATGCAATTTAATATTAAAATTATTTTACTTTCTATCAATATGAAATATTTTTGAATTAATTTTCCAAGTGCTAATGCACTAAAATATTGTATAACAGATTATTAACTCAAATATTTTTAATAATTCACTCTTAGAAATAATTCTCCACGGAAATTAAAAAGGAATGGTCAAGATCTAATGCGTCTGATCTAACTCAAATAACCACACATTTTAAAGTGTTATTATTGAGCAGCTGTCTTACAACTAATTACATCCATAGATATTAAGTAAATACCCATCTTTGATGTTCAGAATTGTTTAAAACATTATTGATAGATACTTTTGATAAATACGTATAAACGTACATACAGTCAAAACTCTTTATAACGAATCTGAAAGGACCAAGAGATTTCTTTCGTTATAGAGAGTTTTCGTAATAGAGAGGGTTTAAAAAAAAACAAAATTTTAATTATTTATCAAACACATCATTATTTTTACATTATTTTATATATATTTACGTATTATATTAAATTATTATTATTATTATTATACATACTTATTAAATATAATTTATTGAGAGTGACTAATACGTTATAGAGAATGAATTGTCTAATGGGTTATATAGCAAACCAACCATTATTATGTAATGTTTACGTTATATAGAGTTTTTCGTTGTAAAAAGTTTCGTTATAAAGAGCTTTGACTGTATAATTATCTGTAATTGCAAAAACATATTGTGTATATACTACTTAGTAAAAAATAAAATAAAAATAATTTACTAATTAAGTATAAATAAGTAATAGAAGCATGGGAAATTACTTACAGGAAATAACAAAGTCCATATCGTATTTTTATGTACCTGTTTTGTACTAAGAATTTAACAAACATAGAAATCTAATTTTCTACATTATTTTTAAATTTATGTAAGAATTATAAATTAAAGTTTTAATTTATTACTGATCTATGTTATCTATGGATTTTAGATTCCACCTGCCCCACCTCGTCCAGATTTTGATTCTTCTAGAGAAAAATTACAAAAATTAGGAGAAGGTGAAGGAACAATGACCAAAGAAGAATTTTTGAAAATGAAAAAAGAATTAGAAGCGTATGGCAATACAATTATTTAATTATCATCCTTGATACCTAATTGTGTTATTTATTTCTAAGCCAACAATCACTTTTTTTTTAGTGAGTACTTAGCCACATTTAAAAAGACTGTTGCCATGCACGAAATGTTCCTTTCAAGACTAGCTCAGCACCCTGTATTTCGTTACGATACAAATTTTCGAGTATTTTTAGAATATGATCAAGATCTTGCCGTTCGTACAAAAAACAAAAAAGAACTTTTTGAGGTTAGTGTTTTGTTTTTTATAATTTGTTTGTTTTTTTTTTTTTATATTACTTTTATGTCATTTGTTTTAAGGAAATTATGAAATCTCTGTCGAAGACCACTGACGAGTACCTGCTTTCTGCAACTGTAAGAGATGTCAATGATTTTTTTGAGCAAGAAAAAAATTTCCTCATAGATTATTATGGTCATTTAAAAGATGCTACTATGAAATCAGATAAAATGGTAAACAAGCATAAAGGTTAGTATATTGTAGATCTATGTACTAACATTGTAATTTGAATATAACGTTTACTCTAATTTATATCAGGGGCCAGGAATCTGTGGCTTTCAAAGCAATTCTGTGTCCAGCATAATATATTTATTATTAATATCAGAATGTATACATAATCTATAATGTATAATGTTATTGCGCTGGTTATTATTGCTGATGTGAAATCAATATTTCTTGAAATTACATCATACTTGCATGTGCTGTCTCCATTTTACTAATGCATAACATACCAAGGTTTACTTTCAGGAGTTATAAAAATGTTTAAGTATTAATGTTTTATGTACTCGTAATTTTCTTAAAAACTAAAATATCGTATAAAATTGTTTTTCCTTTAAGCTTAAGAAAATACTAAAGCTTCATGCGTTATCTCTGTCTTACAAACACATAACATAGAAAATTGTACGTTTTAAATAGAGTTATGAGTAGATCTTTATGTAATAAAAAGTATCAAAATATGCCATATAATATGCAGGTAAAATCTTAAAAATATGCAAGAAAATTTCTATTATTTGTATCACAAACTTTTACAATATTTATAACAATTTATTGTATCTACTTTTTGATTTTTCTTTACACATCTTTAGTTATAACTCTTTATGGTTAAGTCATGGTTGTCTATCTACAACCATGGTTGTGTTAAAATAATATTAATTATATTCTATGCTTGGAGCTATCGTTTGGTTAATTTGGCGTTATCGTTGCACTGTGAAGTTCAGAAGGATCGAGTCATATTACAAATTTTTTCCAAAAAAAAAATATTTATTGATTCAATACAGCACTAAGTTACTACAGGGGGCCCGGCCGCCCTCTAAATAGATCAATATTAATTAATATAAATGTCCCCATTGCTCCCCTCTTAATACAGCCCTGGGTATGTCTATAGCTGACTGACAAGCAAGAGTGATTTATTTAAATAATAGACATAAAAGTGTGGGTCGTAATCGATTTGTTACATTATCTTTATTTCAATTACTAGATTTGTTTACTAGACAAAAAATTATTTTATGATTTTTTTTTTTTTAAATTTTGCTTCAATACGCAATACATTTTAATTTCTTAAAAATATGCGATAACCATAAAATATACCAAAAGATATTTTGACTGTAACTTCAAACTATTATGATTCGTAAAAAGTACTGACAAGTATCCAAAAATGTGAAAAGGAAAAAAATATTCAATTGCATAGAAATACTCGATAACTCACTTTAAAATTAAAATACATTCACCAGATAATATTCTTACTTCTAAATTTGTTAATAATTAATTTTCACTCCAACATTAAACATAATACAGTCAAATGGATTATTCAGAACTTACAATTTGTCTTGTTATACATTTGTAATAAAGAGACAACGTCTGTGGGTGTATAGTTCTTTTAATAATAGTTTTATTTATTTCAATATTTAAGTTAACTACACAACATTTCAACTGGTGAGAATAAATTGTGGTATGTTATGGTGTACTTATACGGAGCTACAAGTGTGGGTAGATGTCCTTTTAAATCATTTATTTTATGTACTCATACATAATTGTTGTGAAGTGTACAGTATAACATAAATTTGCCTCACGTTAAGAGCATGACTGGGCAACAAACGATTAAGTGCCCATTGATACACAGCCAGATCTCAACCGTCTCTTAACATGCACTACAAACGGAATTGTGCGAACGGCATACTAAGATGACGTGTGGTTGAGGAAGTTGCTCGTCCAACACATGCTCTTAATGTGTGTCGAGTATACATTCATCAGTGATTATACTGCTGTCTCACTGTAAAGTGCTGTTGGTTGAATAATATGTTCATTGTTCATAGTGTTAATAACACCTATGCTAAAAAAAAAAAATGTTTGCCCTTAAATTTGTTTTTGTTTTTTGGCCATTGATAAAAACTTAACCTACCCAATTATATAAAAAAATAAATGCATTTTTAAAAACTTAAATATTGAACAGATGTTGCAGACTGTTATATCAAGATTTCATCATGTTTAGTCCAGTTATCTACTTTTGATCATCGAGAGCTTGATTGGTTCTTGAACCGATTTTCTGAAACATTGGAAAAACTTAGAGTAAGTATTGCCATTTATATAAGATAATGTATTACTATTTATATATTTGGATTAAGGCTATTTTATTTGGTTCAAATATATTAACAAAAAATAATAAGTATTAATTAGTTATTAGTCATTACTAATTTATTTTTATAATTATATGTAGAAAGTGGAAGGGAGAGTTGCATCTGATGAAGACCTTAAACTTTCAGATACATTGCGTTACTATGTAGGTGATTCATTTGCTGCAAAACGATTATTATATAGGCGATTACGTTGTTTAGCAAACTACGAAACAGCTAATCGTAATCTAGAGAAAGCTAGGGCAAAAAATAAAGATGTTCATGCAGTAAGTAATTTTTTACTATATATAAAATATACATAATATATTATATAATTTTTATTTCGTTAACTTGTTTAACGAGGCTCAAGAAGTTTATGATGTGAGTACCCATTAGTATGATGTATAATGGCATAACATGATCGTAGCAATATGCTAAGATTTGCCAATTGTTTTGTTAATTATCTTTTTAGAAATGTATGATTAATATACAAATATACTTCAAATTGTTATGTTTTTACATATTACTTTTGCAAATGTTGTAATTTTTGGTTAAAGAGTAGTTTGCATGTTAATAACTAGTACATATCTTTATATTATTTACCTATTTTAATTTATAATTTATGTAAAATGATGAATAGTCCAGGTTTATGTGTTTTTACACGTTATTACTAAGTATATGCAGTCTTATGATAGTTACAAATTTTAACAGTTCATTAAAATCAAGAATTCTTAGTAAAAATTTTTTTTTTCATATTTTAGAACAGTTTTAGGATATAAAATATTAAGCTTATCTACCATAATATATTGATTACTTTTTAAATTGTTAGAAAAAACACTAATTTTAATATTAAGGAACCAGAAAAAAATATTTTTAAAATATTTACCAATCATCTTTTTTATTTAGCATAGTATTGATAAAAAAAAATAAAACACAGTGATGGCACTATAAAGTTTCCATGCTGTACCTAGTATATTGATAAGAATAACATATTTGTTTATCAAATGTCTAAAGATTTGGTTTAGTTTTTGAGTGTTTTTAATACTTAAAATGAAAAAAATGTATTCATTTTCAACACCTTTTGAAACAATAGATAGAACCAATAAATACAACTATATACTACACTATTTTAGCTATTACTTTAGTGTAAGTATTCCATTATGCTTATGCATGTGTATAATAATTTACATAAATAATTATTTAAGGATTATTGTAAAAAAAAAAATGTTATCAATACTTAAACATAATATACTGGAGTTCATTAATTATTTTTCTAATACTTAAGAGAATATTTGTAAGTTTTTAGGTAATATAAATGTGGACTACAGTGATAAGTGATATTGTTAGGAATAACTGTATTTCTGATCACCCTAAATATTTAGTTTGTTGTAAATGGGTATTTATATTTTTTAACTTATAACCGTCTTTGTTATAAGTGAATTTCATTGTATTGAGATAATTGGATGCTGAATTACAAAGTTAATTTTATTAATCTATTATAGCTTTTTTTTCTTATAATTTTTAACAGTTTTATAGTTGAAACATTTAAGATATTTTGTATTTTGTATTTGTTTTTCTTTAGTAGATATAATGTCTATTAGATAATTGTCAGCAAAATATTTTATGTGTTACTTAGATAAATTATGTACTATTGTTATATGAATAGTATATATAAAAAAATCATAATTTTTTTTAGGCAGAAGCAACACAACAGATATCATGTGAAAAATTTGAAGTCATGTCTGATAAAGGAAAAGAAGGTAAATTTATAATATAAAATTCAACATAGTTTTGTCCATTTTATTTTATATAATTATGTATAATATATCATATGTTGTAATCAATGATTTAATACCTTTTAATTATTTTAGAATTGATTGATTTTAAAGCAAGACGAGTGTCAACTTTCAATAAAAACTTATTAGAACTTGCTGAATGGGAAATAAAACATGCACAGGTACCTACATTTTTTAGAATTTTATTTTATTTTGGTAAGAATGAGCCAACATGATTTCCAAATATTTATCTTAAGTAATAGAAGTTTAAATAAAATTCTATTATATAAACTAATCCTATAGGGTAAACCAGGAATATCAGACACTGGTTAGACACTATAAAACAATAATTATTTCTTTGGTTAAAAAAATACAATTATTAAATTAAATATAAACAAGGCAATGGTATACTATTGTTTATTTTATATTGGTAATAATTACAGCCTGGAACTTGATGATCTAAAAATCATGATAAATGTATGAGAAAAAATCATAAAATGACATATTTATGTTCAAAAATGACCTAAAAAAATACTTAAATAATGGTTATTTATAAAATATACCTACATAAAGTAGAGAAACTCACCAAAATTCATGAAAAATGATGTTTTAACCAAGAAATACTATACAAATTTTAAAATGCAAAATTAATTTTTTCCTATTGAATTCTGCTTGACATAAGTCAAATTTCGATTAAGATATATCTCATATGTTTTATTAGAAGAAAAAAGTTCCAAGTCTTAGTTAAAATATAAAGGTACATTTTTTTTATAGAGTATTTAACCATACCATTGATTTTATAATATTAAATATATTATAAAAACAATGTCTATACTTGTAATGCAGACGAGAAATAAATGTAAAGTGTTCACTCTACTTCTCTTTGGGAATTAATAATTAATATGTAAAAAAACAGTAATATGTTTTTATTTTAAATTATAATTATTGGTTGTGTCTTATGTTTAATTGTTCGGTACTTGTTACACCAATAGACAACAGTTGTTGTATAGTACACATGTTGCATAGATACATATTTATATTACCTAAAAATATACCGACTTTTTGTCCATATTAAATTAAAAAAAATTTTTTGGAGGTTTATTTATGATAAGTTAAATGTTTGGTGGGACCCATTATTCTATAAATCCCTGTTTACATTTAATCTATTTTAAGAATAAAATGTAAATGACAAATTCATAATATATTTATTATACATTCTTTTTAGCATCAAATAGACATTCTGAAAACTAGCCTCGAAATGATAAACAGCGAAGAAAAGAAGTCAACACTTAACGTCGAGGTAATTTCATAATCAATTTTATGATTTTTCACAGAAATTGTGTTATGTTATTTTATGGCTGATTTAAATATACTCATATACAGTGGAATGTTGATTATTCTGTCTGTGAATTATTCGTACCAAGATTTGCGAATAAACTTAATTACTGGTTTCTTCACACATTTAACAAAAATAATTAATTTAAAATACACTTGAAGTACATTACTTAATTTACTTTAAATAATAATATATTATATATTTGATTATTAGAGATATTATTTTTATGAGTTCCATTATTCTTTTCTCAAAGAAGTACTATTATCATATTTTTATCAATTTATTTTTACATAACATATGTTATATATTATAAAACATAAATAATTAACATTTAAAGATGTAAAAAAATGTGTTTAGATACTTGCATTGCATATTCATTTTAATTTATCTTCTCTTACTGCTGGATTTTCAAAATTGTATGTGGTTCATTTTTAGCCATTTTTTGGTCATCAATATCCTATCTCTATTAATCATGTATACCAGTGGTACCCAACAATATGAGAGTCATGATATAATGAAAAATTATATGGATAGCAAGAAAAGGTATAATTCCTATTATTATATTAGTAAAAAAGTGAATACTCGAGCCGCCGCTTGGCTTCCCCTGGTATACATATAGGTACACGTACAAATAATATAATATATTTTAATATGAATGACAGATGTATAAATAAAATATTTAAATTCAGTATGCAAGTACAAAATATATATTTAGTCACTATACAATAATAATCCTCCCAAATCGATCATTTGTTTCCTTGCTGGTCCTAATTGGTCTAAATAATCAATGCTCTACTGTATATGATAGTTCTGTCAGAACTTAGTACAATTTATACAACCATAATTTGTTAAAATTAAAACAGCCTTAATTATTATTATAATCTCTATGTATCCACCATTTTTTGTATTATTAAATTATTTATTGATTATTAAAATTAAAATATATTAAAATTTTGAAAATTATATAAAATATATTATTATTTATAGTTTATAATTTATTTAAATATATACGTTTATACTTTATATTTTATATTAGGAAATTAATCATTCCTTAAAGTGATTTTATTATTTTGTATTATTATTTATTAGTATACACATTTATTATTTTTATATTTTGGGAAACAGTTTTCACCAACACTAGCTCAGTTAATATATTTATCATATCATTAATGTTATATGTATATATATATATAATTATCACATTAATGATATATTTATGTATATATATGTTAATACCATTAATATCTATCGTAAAATATATTATGTTATTGCTATATAAAAAGAAAAAAAGTTTGTGAAATTTTAAAATTCTGTCATTTAATGACAAATTTTAATTTTTCTTGCATTAAGTTAAAGGCGAGGTTGATGAGTTTTCAATTGATTTAATGTATTTAAAATAATACACGTATCATGAATAATTATTTTACCAAAACATTGTGTTACCTTGATTAATCAATGGTATTTTATATTAAATATCAATTTTACAATGCTATAGTATTGTGTTACTATGACAATTGGTAATTAAAATGTTCTTATTCAATCATATTGCCTTTTTCTTATACCAAATTAATTAATCGACTGTTGTGTAATTTACATTTGTGCATTTAGTGTACTATTATCTTTCACTTGTTATGTTTTGTGTTGTTGTTTGCATACATGTAGTTGGCACGACGTTATCATGGGAGCAATTGTTTTAATTTATTTATGTCTATGAATTTAAATAATTTATTTGTGAGTTTCAATTGAATGAAACATATTGGCATTGTGTAATTAAATCAAATAAGTTATTACAAACTTTATATATAATATATTCTTTACTCAAAAGTATCAGCTAATGACGTACAAATGTTTTGAAAAACCTATTATGTAACAAAATAAAACTGGGTTATAAAAAAATAGATGGATGTAACATTTAAGTTAATAGTGTTTATGGGTTATTTTTAATTCTTTTTTATTTCTTACCTTACTTTGATTACTTGCAATGCGTGTGGAATTTCAAGATTGAGAATCACCATTTTTATAAATTTATATTTTTAAATTATATGCGTTTTAATCATTGAAATATATTTGATTTGTATTCAATTTTTCTACATTATTTTATGGATAATACCTTATGTCAAAGATCTCATTGATGTTTATAATAATTATTGTTATCTGGCACAGTCTAGATGAAAGTTGCATGGTCAATCTATAGATATGGATGCAGATATGTTGTTTCTTGAACACACATACAAATGTCTTAGTGTAAATATCAATTTATTCTTGAATAATATCATATTTTGATGTCTTGTTCGTGCCATTCCAGAATACTCTGTGCGGGCCATATAGACTTCTATAACTTAGTATAATTAAACCTAATCTATCAAATGCTTGATCAAAAAACGTGCTGTCATAGCTATATTTAGACATTTAGTTATGCCTATAGTGAGGTGTATATCATACATTACAGGCACCCAAGTACGTACTGTACATGAAATTATATTATTATCTAATAAATAGATTATAACTACAAAAATGTTTTTATTATTTCAAGACTATATTTAAATTTATATAAACTATAAGTTATAGGTACACTTAATATTCTTTGTGTGTGATATAATGATAAAAATTCTATATTATACTAATATGATATTATATAATTGTTAATAAATAATAGCTTTTAAAAATTAATCGCCGATGAGCTTATTTATAGTAGTAGTTATAGTTGTCTCATAGGGGGGAAGGAGTTAAATTTAGTTGTCCACCTTATTTATAGTGATATATTTATGAAGACAATTAAGTTAAATACAACATTATATTGTTACATTCAATTAAAATAATCAGTAATAACAATATTAGTCTAATTTTTGCTGGTTCTGCAATAAGAATAATTAGATTAACATGAATTTTACCATGATGTTTTGATATCAATTATCGATGCACCCTGATGAGTACTTTATATAATTTATTCATGTCTATGACTAGTATAATAGTAGTATAAATGAACAATAATATTGTAATACTACTGTTGTAATCTGACTGTCAGAGATCTAGATGATAGTACATTTCCAATGAATAGTTTAAGCCAATAGTTCACTTAATAATTGTTTATTATAAGCAAAATTATAAAATACATAAGCTATGTCAATGTGAGTGAAGGTGCTCAGGACTCAACAGCTGTGGTACATCTGATTCTGCTGCACTCCGGGCTCTCTTATAAAAGATTCCTGATCTGTCTTGGACTGGATCGTGTGTTTTGCAAGTGTCTTTCAGGTGTAGTAGTCGAAGATGTAGAGTAACTGCTCGTGGCTGCAGTTAATAGCGAGCTTTGCATCGGCACATGGCTTTCATTGATGGTCTTCAATCCTTGAATAGTACTTGCATCATGTGCAAGGTTACTCTTATTAATTATAATATATATGTTGTTTATCATATCTATTTGGTATGGTCGGTTAAGAAATCACGCAATTCTTTGCTCGCAACACTACCAATTTAATGTTTTTAGATAATATATTATTTTTAAACTTTTAAACTTTAAACCTTTCTAGGACGATATGACCATCTATAGAGAATTATTTTCAAGAAAATAGGTAAATTATCTAATAACGACTGATGAAGTTCATTATTGTGGACTCCAGTGACAATTATGTAAGGTAAACTATAAATATTGAATGCTTTCAGTTGAATTTTTGTTTATATGATAGTATGTAAATATAACTACTACGATAGTTTTAATTTCGATTTTAATAATATTAGAACTTTACTAGAAACACGGAGTATATCTTGTTTGGAATTTCGGTATTGTTTACTATTGCTACGATTATTACTTTAAAATTCTTTTAATTTTAGATTCAGATGAATAAATTGATTTAACAATATGTGTTTTTTTCATTTTTGTGTTTGACGACGCTCTTTATATTTAAAAACTGCTATTAATAATTAATAATTAATATATAATTATTAAGTATCAATGGTTACTAAAATTAGACCATTTTGGTTCAGAATTGTTTTTTGTTAGATTCAAATTTTACGTATTTTTCACAGTGGCCTACTTAATGATAAGGTACACTCGATGCCTAACTGTACAATAGAGGATACCTGCTGGTGATTTTTTTTTTTGATATATGTATATATATATATATATATTAGTTCTCAATTAATTTAACTTGTTTTAGGTCTGAAATGAAGCCATTAGTATAACTACGTTATACTAAGAAACAAAACATACCAATATTGCATCTATTGATCTATTACCTCTAGACATTTTAAACATTTCAGTATAAACTATGAATTCCAGTACACTATTTTAGGATCAATTTCATTTGATTTACTCAGAATTAAATATATCATTAATTCATGACTTACATCACTATTTCTATACAAGTTACCAATAAATATACTATTTAGGTAATAGAAGAAAAAATATTAAGTTTAATAGTACTATTATAATTTTTTTTTCATTCAGTTGGTATTGCTCACTACCTGAGTACATTAAATCACCACCAAGAATCAATTAAGCCAAGTTAATGTGCTCAAATCATAATTTATGACTATTTTTGAATCCAGGCAAATGGTGTAAATTTGCATATTGCGATATATATTATTTAGGTAAATACTACTCAAACATAATAGGTATTAACAAAAGTATAAACAATGTAATGAAAAAAATAAAAACAAATAATAATATTTATAATAATAATAATGCCATATCCGTATAAATTAAAACAATAAAAACAAATATAAACAAAACAAAAATGTTATTTAAGAATTCAGGTAACTAAAATTTTTTTTAAATACATCTTGTCTTAAGTATATAAACCTTTGGAGAGAAATAAATACAACACTATTTGTCTTATACTTTGTAAATGAATCACTTTAATGTCATTTATAAAAATTATAATACATATTATAATATATTATCTTCTAAATAAATAAAATATAGAGTAAAATAGTAATTTTTGGTTTTATTATTATCTTTAGTATAATCAAACCAATATTTTAAAATACAATAATGCAGTCTGGTCAGTACCTGTAAATTAATTTTCCAGCGTTAAAATAGTTATTTTATACGTTTACAAAAATTATCATAATTATAATATTGAATATATAATTTTATAATTTTTTCCAGATAACATAAATTGGCAAAGAAATGTAGATGACATGAGTGAAAATATGTGGTCTGAGTTTGATTATAAAACTTGTATCATCATCACCATTCAGCGTGAAATATATATTATATAGGTAGATTCATCTATCAGGTAAAGACAGTTAAATTACAGAAAAAATGTTGGTTTTATTAGAGTGATTCACCAAGTATACTCATCTCCATTTTTTTATATTTTCTTGAACAATGATAAAACTTTTTCAAATTCAGATATTTAGAATTGTTAAACATAGTTTAACTCAGTTATTAAAATGTAAAGTGAATTATGCTTAGTGAATCTTCCTGAAGAACAGTTAATTGTTATTTTGCTTATTTATTTTAATCTTAATTATTGATACAAAGACATGATTTAACATATTATACATATTTCAACAGAACCCTTCATTGGTCATCACAGAGTATTTTAATACCCCAGACATGTTAAAACTTTTGTTCATTTGAAGGTAAAAACATAGGAATCTCTAATGCACGTGATATCATTTGTGATAAAAGTATTATGACAGTGTGTTTCGATATTTTAATTAATATAGAATGAATGTTCATAGTTACCGCGAGATGGTAAAAAATGTGTATTTAATATTTTCATGCATTCAAGACACATCTGTAGCAAAAAAATAATAAAATCTTTGAAATCATTAATTTCAGAAAGAAGCTTAGCACATGTGGTATAATATTACTCAATAAGGTGAATAATGAAGGGTTAAGTGTTCTATTGGTAAATTGATTCATTGTATTATGATATAACATCAGGAAATTTAAATTGTGACTTTTTTCATAGTGATAGTTCAAAGGAGACTTTCCACACTAAATAATGATGTATAATAAAGTCACCATAACAAACCTATGTATTTAAAATGTATATTCCGGTTAATATACATATTTTAATTAAATCAATCACCTAATAAAATTATTGTCAAACAAATCACATACACTCATGTTCTTACCAATTATATAACTCTTAAACAAATCACATACACTCATATTCTTACCAACTGTACAATTTTTAAATAATTTCTTCATCTGAAATCATTATACGTGTGTGTTCGTTTGCATGGATGTTACGGTCGACCAATTTTTGTGCGTGCACCAAAGGTTCGTCATACTCACCGCTAGAAGAACGACTTTTATAGAGAATAGGACCTGTATATGGTGTTGCAGCGTTATCTAATAATATATTATTACTGCCTTCTTGTAAGCGTACCGAACATAATCTAGACCGAGCTGATAATTTTAGTCCATTATCAGAAGAATCAGTTAAAGATACAGAGCTTTCAAAATATGACGACAATTCTGGTTCAGATACTAGAGACTCTGAACTTTTGGTTGTCATTGGTCGTTTACTATATTTTGTGAGGGTGCGCATTCGTTTATCAGAGGAATCTGTTTGAGGTGAATGACATTCTTGTTGGTCTGTATTAGGGTCGCCAGTTTTGTTAGCACATGAACAAGTAGAACAGTGTCGTTGAGTTAACCGCTCTTTGACTCTTTCTTCTAAAACTTTTGCCAGGATTGCAGCTGAAACACTGTTGACTGGCTGTGATGATCCTTCTTCTGCATCTCTTGATGACTTCAGATCTTTATCTAAAAAATAATAATTATAATAATATATTTTTGTTATTTCATAGGCAATTAAAATGCATGTTTGGAATTATGTTTATATTAATTGTTACAGCTAATAATTAGTGTTGGATATTGTGTTTAGAATATATAGTGCAATCGGTATACATACATGAAATGAACAAATCTTATGCTGAGGTATTGTGCTATTCTATTTTTCTATTATGATTAACCCAGACACATACAATACGTTAAATAATCAACAGGACATACGCAAAAATTAATATTGGTGACCAGGATATATAAATGAAACATTTTTGGCAACATACCGAGAAATTTTGTAACATCCGAGGCACTCGTTCAGTGTATGTTTTTTAATAATTAAAACATTTAAATGATTTAAACATATTTATATCGTTTTTGTTTGAATCAATTGATTTGAACATAATGAACTCATAACCAATTTAAAATTGTTAATTATATAGGTAATATGTATATTTCAATAGTTTAAATTTTCTATTCAAGAATAAATTACTATTTACATAATTTAAGTTGAACTGTTAAGTATGAGGTATGTATAAACATGTTCAATTATCTCAATTTATAAAAATATAGCTTACATTAAAACATGTTTAACTATTTTTTCTGGAACTAAACATCTTGTATTTCAATAATTTATCACTTTGGAAATTGTACTAGTTTAAAAAAAAAAATGCCAACACTCATTATAGTTTAATGAAAAATAAAAAATATTAAAAAAAATTACCATTACTCAATGAATAAACCATTGCTGTTGGAGGAAATGTAGGAATTGGTACTTTTATAGTTTTTCCTTCTGATTTCTGTGCTATGTTACCATTGCCATCTGACAGTCTACGTTGTTTGCTAAAAATATAATTTCGAACTTTGGATTGTAATTCACTTGGCAGCTAAAAATATAATATAAACATCATAACATTTATTAAACAAAAAATATTTAATTTTGTACATTAATGTTACAAGATTTAAATGTTATAGTTATGCAGTGTTGTTTTTTTAAAATATGTTTTTTTTAAGTGATGGACCAAGTCTATGGTTTTCAATAGGTGTGTCGCCTATTTAAAATATAACCATGTCACTAAATTATTTTTTTGTTATCATTTACCTATTTATTTGGTAAGTATATTTACATTGTATTTGAAAAATATAATTAGGCGTAAGACATTATCACGGAATTATAATAGAGTATATTGGTGAAAACTAAAAACTTAAAAAAAGGTGATACGGACAATGTTTCATCCGGTTTCATCTATATAACATAGATTTTAAACAATTAAATTACCTAGCTTAAAATATTTAGGTACGTAAATAAACATTTGATATGTGTAAGTTTGTCCATGAAATAAAAGATTTATGGTTAGTCTATCAAACTCAAGTATAAACAGATATTTTTTAAATTACCTAATACTTTTTTTTTTCATTTAAATGCCTACCTCGTGCCTACCCAAGACTGTTCAATTTATAGGTAATGATGTAAGTTTATATTTTTGTTTTAATAATAAAATGGTAGCACGGAAAATAAAAATAATAAATAACATATATTAATAAAAGTTATTTTTTTTAAAAAACCATTGATTTATATTGAGTGTGACATCATTTATTTAGATTTAAGTTAGTCTGTTATTGTAAAAAAAGGTTGAGAACCACTATAATAGATTGAATAGGTATGATAAAATATCTTAAGATGATATAGCTCATTAATTATTCAAATCAAAATTTTTATTGTTAAATATTTAACGGATAGATACAGTTATTAATATGTGTATTGTATAAAACTGACTAATACAATTTAAATTTACTTACGTTATCATATTTTTGAGAAACAAAATGAGATGGTTTGCACTGAAGTAATTGAATAGCAATATTAAGATCATTTTTGTACCTTTCCTGTAAGAAATAAATTTACACAATTAAAAATATACCTATTTGTCATATTATTGAACATGATAGATATTAGAGGATGTACAAATAATGACATAACATAATACAAAGTATCTAAAATAATATTAAGAATATGTTCTTAAAAAATAATAAATAATTGATGTAACCATCTTAGTTATGTTAGTAACTGTAACAGTCAGTTAGTTCATAAGAAAACAAATTCTGAATTATCCATAATTTAATAAAGAGTTATTTCAAGGGTAATTTTTAATTTAAATAATATTGTGTTGGTACCAAAGATTAATTTTTATAATTAGGTTTTTGTTTGTATTTGTGTTGATTATTACTACCTTCACAATTTGTTGACTAAATAATTTATTCACAAAATATCATGAATATCAATTATTTAATTTATGATTTTATTAATTAAAAATATTGACTTAAATAACTTACATTTTCATCGTTCAATTGATTCACTTGAAATTGTTGGTCAACCAGTTTTTGAGATATAATTGTGATTTCTGAGTTTAATACATTCTTTTCTGATTCAGTTTTGTCAACAAGTAACAATAATTTATCTTCAAGACTTTGGTTGACACGTTGGACTCTCTTATGTGATTCTAATAATCTAAATAAAACATATTATCATATTACAGTTAAATGTTTACAATAACCTGTTACTGTGTAATATTATCAACTGGCATGGCTATCTTCAAAACTCTCATTAACAGTTGTTATATTTTATATTGTTATAGGTACTTAAAAGTAATTAACTGTAGGTATATAAATATTTTATTGTGTCATAAAATATCACATAAAGTAGTGTAGTGTAAATAATTTATCTGTGCATATAATGTAAAACGTTTTGTTAGGTATGATAAATAAAATTGGACTTTATAAAAATGTATTATAAGTAATAATATGTTAGGTATAATTACTAATTCATATTGGATATAATAAAAACTAATAAGTAATTACCTAGAATATTTGTCTTGCCATATTAATATTTCATCTGTTAATGCAGCATACTCGCCATGAGGAAATTTTTCAGCTTCACAAAGAAAATTAGTCTCCATGTTGACAATGTGATTTTCTCTTTCTAAGAGTTTTTGTTTTAAATTTTCGATTTCAGCATGTAAATGTAAGCTAGTCTGCTCGCAGCTACAGTCCTGAACATAAAAATATTATGTTTAGTTAGAATAGATATATTAATTTAAAATAAATAAGTTACAACAAATTTAAAACAAGTTATTATGACTGCATTTAATACCTATATGAAATTTAAAATATCTATAGATTTTTTTAACTATCTATATTCATATGATGTATTTAAATTTGCATGTATGGAAGATTATTTTGGTAGGTAAACATATTTTTTAGACGTCAAAAATGTTGATATAAGTAATGACATATTGGAGAAAATAAAATAAATATATAGTAGGTAGGAAGGTATAGATCATTGACGAATGAAGGACATATGGTATGGTTAGAAAAAGTACTCCAAGGATTTGCTTTCGGCTAGGTACATAATATCACCCGGAGAATTATCGAAAAAATATAATACTGAGGAATTTTAGTTACCGGGATACATTCGATGAAACCAGATTGGATAATGTCAAACCATGAGAAAAAATAGATGAGAAATTTATCCACCAACCTAACCTAACGGTGGTGGTGGCGGACATTGAAAATTACAAGGGCGAACAACGACTCGGTGAGTGGAACCGTCGAGTGTACCGCGGTAAGACACTGAACCGGTCACAGCTCGCACAAGGGGTTGGAGGCGGTGGACGTTGCCATGGTAGGTATCACCGTGGAGTCCGGGAACCTAGCGAAAATCGGGCCGAATATCAGAGCAGGTGTACTCACATTTTTGGCTGGGGCGCGCACGGCCATCGGTGCTACGAAGTTCGCGAGCAGAACGACGTGGACGGCGATGAGCGGCTGCGGCGAGCACCGGGACGCTGGCGGCGGCAACCGGACAGGACAACAGTGACCACCGGTTTCCGTCGGAAGAGGGACGGCAACGGCGGCGGCGGGAGCGGCGAATGATAACGTGCACGTCCGAACGTCGACGTTCGGTATCCGTGTGTGACGACGACCGCCGAGAGGAGCACGTCGAGTCGACGGCGGCGGCGGCGGCGAATACAAGCGCGCACGCACACGCAAACGCACACGTGCGCGCGCAAAGGGCTGCCCAGTAGGACGGACGACCCTGCGGATTGACGGCGGCGGCGGCGGCGGAGATCTGATCGGCGATAGTGTTATTAACAACAAAAATAATAATATCAGTATCGTCGTCGTCGATGTTGTTGTTGTTGTTTTTTTCGTCGTATCAGTGGCGGCAAGTGATAACCCGAGCGATACCGATGATAATAATATGTCATTTGCTCGCGGTATCCGCGGTACAGTCCGGTCGTACGAATAGCGCAATAATAACACTATTTTTTTTTATTGGTTTATTGTTCGAGTACGACGGCGCTACATTATGATGATGAACCGAAAATAGGTTTTAAATCCAAGGTTACGACGGTGTGTTTTTTACGGGTAAATAAGATTCGTGACCATTACGAATCGTCCGGGGAAGAAACCGGATATCCGTGGATTTGCCATACCGCATCGACGTCACCGCGACACGTAAACTCGGTATAGGTAGGTAGGTGATTGTAAAACGTGGCGGTCCGGTCACCGATTGACAGGAAATTATAATAATAAAATATTATATCGTCTGACGTGTCATAATTTTATATTGTGTGTAATCTCGATTTGCGTCGATGTCATGACGTCGATTTACAGGAACTCGTCGACACCGTTTATACCGGGAAAATGTTTTTTTTTTTTGCGTTTCGCCGAATTAAAAAATACGTAATAATAATATTTACGTTGCAAACGAGATTTCGCCGTGGAGCGTAGACCACAACTACCTGTAGATGAGCGGTCCTCATTAGGATTGCAGAATGGGCCAAACGTAGTTTTCGAAAATTATTTGCGGGCCGCACACATTTTTAACGATAATAATTAAAAATATAAAATTATGTATATATTGTTAGGAAAGGGTATTGTAGGAAAAAGTACATGAATGACACAACATTTTTTTCTTGGATTTATAATTATAATTTTAAACGTCAATTCGCAGTTTATTTTATGCAAAATACAAATCATTCATATTATTAGCGTTGTATACTAAATGTATACGTTCATTAAATTATTAGATTAATATTGATATTTTTTTAATTGAAATTAATCAATTTGATTTAATGTTGTTTTGATGTCGATGGACGGTATCTTAGCTTATTTATAGACATTCAATTTTCATTTGTTTTTTTTTTAAATATTTTTTCTACGAAAGTCGATAAAATTGTTTTATCAAAATTATTGAAAATGTAATTATGTATATTATAGGTTTCTCATAAGTTGTTGTAATAACAGTTGAAATACATTAATGATATATATGTATGATTTTTTTTTTATAACCATATTTTAAAGTTCAAATTTTTTACAAAATTCATTATAACCTGGACAATTTTCAAATTTTTTTTTGTTAGTTTTTAATGTGTAAAATTTTAAATTTTTATAGCCAAGGATCGACAATTTTAAACAAGGTTTCTCATAAGTGATAAGTAGTTCATAATATTGTATCTTATGGATGTAAAAAATACATAATCAGTTTTTTTTTTTAAAGATGAAGAATATCGTATTTCGTTATTTTGTTCTAATTTAAAAAACATATCATTCATTGGTACGTGAAACTTTTAAAATATATTATTATATCCTATACACACAATGACATTTTCAAATTTATTTTTTGGGCAAAAATTAATTTAGCCTACTGTGGTACACTAATGCCTTATAGTTAAATAAATTACTCTAATCACATAAATATCGTAAAATATATTACTTAGTAATATTACATAGGCGGACAGTGCTACCCACTTGACCGTTCTATTAAAATTACCTTTGCCCTTCCCGACAGAAAAATGTCCCATGGAGGTGAAAACTGTAAAATAATTATTATCGTACTAATGAATAATTATTATACCTGCCCAGACATTCGGCTTATTAGACAAGGTTACAAAGTGTAGTGTGTACAACAGTGTGTAGTACAGTATTCTACCGAAAAGTCCGGTGAAAAAATTCCAGAGTCATGTCCTAAAATAAAAATTCGGTAAAACTCCAATAGGTATTTTTATTTGCTTAATAACGTGGTAAGTTATAGGTGACTGGTAGGTATGTAATATATATGTTACTGTAAAAGATGTTAAATGTATATTAACGTTATTAACTAGCAATTAACGTTAATAGATAATAATGAATATTTTACAATGTTTATAACGTTAGTTACTAAGGATTTACGTTAATTCCAAACAATATTAGTGAATCATGTTATTTGTATTTACATTTTTGTATTATTATTTATTTTCACATGATAATGCACTGTGAGTTGTGACATTTCGAATTGCATAATTTCCCAACTACTCAAAGGTGCATTTATTTGTTTTACACTTCATCTTACAGTCACATCTTTGATAGTCTTGTGTACCCAAAAGACTACTACATCCTGCTGCTCTTCGGAGTGTTATCTCTTTTTATTAAGATGATTCAAGCAGGGTTTTGAGATCACGTAAAATTTCTTTACACAAGTTGTGATCTCGTATACTTGTGTTTAAGAAAACCATTTTCGGTACCCAATTCAAATATAAATACATTAATATCTATAAATTTCAATTTTGTATTTTATTTTACATACATAGTTTATAAAAGCCGTTATCATCATTAGCAATAACACAAATTTAAAAATATTAAGTCTTTAATATTATATTATATTAAAAAATAATACTTATATCTGGATGCAATGCACGGTTTTTTTTTGAGATTGTATAAACTTTAACTTTAAGTACTTCAGGTACTATAAATATTATTTGAATTCACGTTGAACTAGTATTTTACTTTTTTGAGAAATACCTATGGGTATACTTATTTTTATCTCTAAAAAATAATACAAATCTAAATGATTATATTTTGATTATATTTTGTAACTATATATCTGTATGAAAACGATCCGGTTATCGTGGGTTAGTAGTTCTGGGGGTAGTTGTACACAATCAGAATTTTAGAACTATGATTTTTACGCTATAAGTCATATCTTTTGCTTTTCTTTTTGAAATTCTAGATTTTCGTCAGAAACCTTAAAGGACCTATCTCTGCAGTTAGGTTTTGTACGATGGTTTAATTTTTAAGCGAGCGTTTTTAATTTACGCTTTATAACATGCCAAAAATTGAACTATCACAAAAAACCAACATATGAACACGGATAAAGTCCTCACCATCGAGTTTCATATTAGGTCGGTTCGCTCTAATTTTTACACCAACCGAATCGAACATGACCTGCTGAAATTTGGTATGTTACGCGCACTTATACGAATCGTGATAGTCTGACAAAATTTTTTGTTGCACATTCAATGAGTAAGTATATTGCATATTTTTTAATATTTCGAGTTTCGACAAGTTTAATGTTTATTGCTCATTAATGTGAAATTAAACCCCAACAAAATACCGTTTTCAAAACCTAATAAAGGTGTAAATTAATGTTTCGTCAAGTAGAAAATCGAAACAATGAAAAAATGCCGTCGACTTCAAATTACAAAAATGTCGTTTTTTTCGGTAAGCAAAAATATCAGTTGCACAGTTTATTAAACAGAACGTTAACTCGATTGTTCGAACTCTCGTCAAGCAATTTCACCGAAAAAATATTTGCTTTACATCCTGGAAGTAGTACACCGCCAAATTACTGCGTTTTTTTTTTCGCATCAATCTATTTTTAAAATATTTTCATTCAATTGTCTCATATTTTCAAGATTTGTTCTGTGTATAAATATTAAATATGCATACATATATGACGCGATATTATCGTGTGATTTTTTTTGCGTAAAAAGTCCTCACACTAATCAAATATAAATATTATTATTTAAATTTTAAACGTTCAGCAGAATTATACGACGTATATAATGAGTGTGGTTGTTCGCACTTCGTTTGTCATCGGCGTTAACGAAAAACAACTTCAGATACCTGCCTAATCACAGCAGCTGATACACGGTAATGGTAATTGGTATTCGTGGTATTATTCGAGGTGTTATTGTCAGCCACTCTAAACGCTGCACTTGCATCCAGTTTGCGGCAGACACCTGTCCTAGCTATCGATCATCGAATACAAGACGAGTTTCAATCTACTTATCACATATCAAAGCTTCAATGATTGTTCTACACACGGGGTCACCCATATTTCAATTAATAAATATATTCATTAAATATAGTGCACAAAATGCATTTCTCTTGTGATTGGTGTTGGAAATTCGGAAGAGATTTTTACTATTTATTAGGTACGTATAATAGTTTGGTACAGCTATATATTTCGAAATAGAATTGCTTACCAAGTAAGTAGCTAGGTTGTAGGTACATACCCATACCAATAATATAAGGGTGCCTAAATATATTTTGAAGGTATCTAGAATATTTTGGCGCTTTTTTACGATAAGATTTATCTGTTGACTACCTATATCTCGTTTTGGAATCCGAGACGAAAAGTCCATTTTGAAAAAAAATAGACAAAATGTCCGGATTAAATTTTGATATCGTTGGACGAAAAGCCCGAAAATACAGAATGTTCTATTAAATTTTCTTTTATAATTATATGATTTATTATACAGATACATGCCTACTGGCTACTACATATAATATATCATATTTATATTTAATTTAAAAACATTTAAAATATGTAATTTATTTTACAATTCTAAAGATTAGATTTGTAATCATTTTAATTTAGTATAGTTGTGGACCATTAGTTACACAATTACATGAACATAATTCTAATTATGCGTTGACGATAGAAGAATTTTTAAATCGCATAGGTCATTGTTTAAGACGGGGATGAGCAACCTCTTTTGGTCCACGATCCCCAAAATTATTTATTTTGATAATACGACCCCCCCCTCTTTTCTACCAATATTATGTATGTGTATAATAAATAATTACTTTAATGTTGTCTTAATGTTTACAAACATTTTATTCATATAAATTAAATTGTTAATTTTAGGCAATTTCAATATTTCTTTAATTTAATTAATACAAAACATAAACAAAATTTACTGAAATTATTATTATAATTAACAGTTTAATATTTTTAAAATTATAAAATTACTGACTAACTAATAAAATTACTTAATTATTTTAATGAGAGACCCGAGCTCGGATTGCAGACACAATTGATTCTATGTTTGGTTTGATATTTGACACTTCTACTCTTAAATCAGCTTCAACATTTAATCTGGAGCGATATACTATATATATTAAAGCTGTATATTAAACTCAAAGAGTTCGTTATTTATATTAAATCATTATTATTATTATTATTATATTTTTTTTATTGAACGCTTTGACGGCGAGTACCTCAACACGGTTCTGCAGCATTATTCAATAGCATTAGGCGTCTCGTCTTATATACACATCCCAGCAACGGTCGGGTTATGGTCACATTTTTATCGGCCCGCTGAGTGTGAAATCAGTGAAATCACCACCGCCACGAAGTAACTTTTTTATCTACATAAACTCGCAGCGATCGGCCTCGT